ACGAGCACCCATGCCTAGCCCGCAGCCTAGCTCCCGTTGCTAAAGTTATCTCCGCACCGCCACCACTGCCGCCGCCGCCACCCCCACTGCCGCCACCACCGCCGCCACCACCACCGCCACCACCGCCACCTCCACCGCCTCCACCGCCCCCACCACCGCCTCCACCGCTGGCACCCCCACCACCCTGGCCGCCCTTGCCCCTGACGCCGCGGCGCCTCCCACTAGGAGTAGACGCAGCCCCGACCTCCTTAGCACAAAGGAAGTCAACAGCATCAGCAGAAGCGACGGAGGGGACAAGGGGGGAGGGGGAACACCCCTCAAAGAAGGGAGTGCGAGGAGTGCCACGAGAAGTGCCTTTAGCGGCTATGCTGGTCTCAGCTGCAAGGAGGTGCTTCTCGAGCAGGTCCACAGTGAGGTCTGTGGGGTCAAGGGCGAGAAGGAGGTCCCTGACTGTGGGGTCAAGGGCGAGAACTCGGCGGGAAGCGCTGCATGGTAGCGAGTGTCACTAGTGCGAAGGTGAGTGACGAGGTCGGCGACCGTGGCAAAGGCGGACAGCTCGGGGAACAGGTAGGGCAGTATAAGGCAGCCTAGAGCAGAAGTGGCCGGGGAGGAGTAACGAGCGACTACAGTGTCGTACAGGGGCAAGAGAGGCACCAGACGTGAGGTCAAACAACGAGGCACCGTCCCTAGAATCGCTCAGTAAGTACAGCTGCAGGTCATCTAGCGACGTGTCGAACTGTATCTAACGGCCCTCTCCATCGCGGGCGAAGCAATTGGGCGCGCTAGCAGCAGGGCAGCACGCAGGCAGGACAAGGCAAGGTGGCGGCCAGCAGGGCGGCGAATAGGCAGATCAGGGCAGGGCAACAGCCAGCAGGGTGGCACGCGGGCAGGGCAGGGCGGCGCGGCTGCGAGCGGCGCGCAGGCAGGGCAGGGCGACCCGTCGGCTAGCGGCGCGCGGGCAGTGCAGGGCGGCGCGGCGGCGAGCGGCTCGCGTGCAGGGCAGGGCGACGCGGCGGCGAGCGGCGCGTGGGCAGGGCAGGGTGACACGGCGTGGCGTGCGCGGGCGGCGCGACACAGGGCAGGGCGTGCGCGGGCAACGCGACGTAGGGCAGGGCGTGCGCGGGCGGCGCGACGCAAGGCAGGGCATGCGCAGGGCGGCGCGGCGCAAGGCAAGGCAGGGCAGCGCGACGCTAACAGGGCGGCGCGACGTGTGGGGTAGCGCGATTCGGTGGGCCCTAAAAAAAACGGTCCTAGGAGAGGACCTGCTCTGATACCATATGAGAAAGTGTAAGCGAGAATGGATGAACTAGCAGCAGGATGGGTACAAGTACTAACCCTAATTTGGGTTGTACCCCATATGGGCTACCCCACTACAGCTTACACAACATGCAATATATAAGTTTGACATTGGAAACATATAGTTCGCGCTTCTGATGTGTCGAGCACTACAATGTAAGCGAAGCGAACTACAGCGAAGTAACAGCGAGTCAACCAAAGCGGTTGTAAAAAATCAACAGCAAGAGGTTAAGCGAATGTAAAAAGTCAGCGACCTTTGACTTGCCAAAAGCAGCGCGACAGTAAGGACACATAACTGACCCACCATTGAGTAGTTACCCGAGTCGTCGCTGTATCGAACCGCAACAGCAGATACAGTTAGTTAAACCTTTCATATTCCTTGTAAACATGTAAAGCCATGTACCGTATCTTTTGCTATTATCAACTTATCTTGTTCTCACAAACCAGTGCAAGGTGGTTCAATCAGCCTACATTATACGCTTCCGCTAATACATCATTATTACGAGTCTTAGTCTTGAAACGATCCTAAGGCTTTTCTCAGCCCAACAAAACGCAACACCATGCAATAAAATTGGAACTCGCAACAGCTCTCCACAGGCCGGATGAATTAATCACATGTTGTTATCTACATTCAAATGACTAGGAAAACATGGCAAGTTCCACCCAAACCATATGTAGAGCGCAGCGCATACACTTCGTTTCCTCGTTTCCTCGCACTCCTGAAGCGAGCACGTTGTCCTCGTTCACATCTGCTGTGTTTATTATGGTTCGCTGCTATGAGCTGCGGTGGGAAGTGGTGCAGAGGGGTGCGGGGCAGGGTAGAAGCAGGCAGGATGGATAAGAGGGTATTCAGCAATGCAAGTAAGTAGGCACTCTGCACGAACGATTCTCAGTGGCGGTACGAGAGAAGAAAATGTGCAGCCCATGATTGACAGAGGTCCTTGTTTGTATTGTATGAAATGAAAAATATATATTAAGACAAGACCACAATAACCTTGTGTACCGGGATGGAGCAACTGCCCCTTCACTTGCAGCAAGTTGTGCAGGGAGGGACTCACCTTTGGGCAGTTCGTACGAAATCACAGTAGCATAACATGAGATGCATACAAATGAACAGGGAAAAACAAACAAATACAAAGGGAGGGAGAGGGAGGGAGGGCATGGAAGGGCTCACAGCATGTTGTGCAGGAACTCCTCCTTGGGTAGTTCGTACTTCAGCGCAAAGGCATAGCATGATGTGCACACCAGGAATGAACTAAGAGGAGGAAGAGAGGGAGGGCGGGCAGCACGGGCCTCACCGCATGTTGTGCAGGAACTCGCCCTTGGGCAGTTTGTACTTCTTTATGTTGTCCGCTGATGCCGACACAAACGTCTTCCTGCCCATGGGGGGGGGGGGGGGGGGGGGGAGGAGCATGGTAAGAAACAGAGGGAATGATGCCAGGAGTCGAAGAAATGGACTCAGTGAGACCGGGCACACATGGCAGCAGAGATTGCAGGGCCGTAGGGCACGATGAGCATTGGCCAGGCAGGGGGGGGGGAGGGGGGAGGCTTACTCGAAGGGGTGCTTAGAGAGGGCTCGGACAGACTTCTTGTGGTAGGCTAGGGTTGACATGGCCTCGCCTGGTGGCACGTGGGGTACACACAACCAAGATGCGCAGAGATGAGATCATGCAAAGCTCCCTTCGACTTTGATTGGTCACATACACACATGTCCACATGCCAACGCATTGGAGAGCATGGCAATGAATGGGAGAGCGTGGCAACGCATGGTAGAGTGTGGCAACGCATGGTAGAGTGTGGCAACACATGGTAGAGCGTGGCAACGCATGGTAGAGCGTGGCAACGCATGGTAGAGCATGGCAACGCATGGTAGAGCGTGGCAACGCATGGTAGAGGGAGGCATAGAACTCACCTGCTGCCAGGTCCCAGAGTTTGACGGTTACCTCTCCTCTTACCTCGGATCTTCTGAAGATGTTCTGTGAGAGTCGGCTTCAGCACGTTTCTGAAGACACGCCCTCACCTCTAGGCATCCCTCCTCACCTTTCTGCATCCATCATCTTCACCTCGCCTCAATCTTCCTCACCTCTCCCCATCCCTCCTCATCCCTCTTCACCTCGCCCCACCCCCCCTCAACGCGGATCTGCTCAATGTGGCCTGTGAGAGTCAGCTTCAGCTTGCCTGTCGCCAGCTCCCAGATCTGCACGCACAAGGAAGGGTGAATGGATGGTGAAGAACACATGAATCACAAAAATGCAACAGTACAGCACGGGACATGCGAAAAAGTGGGGGCAGGGTGGGTGGGGGTGGGGGGCAACACCTCAAACGCCACTGAGCGCACCCACCCCATGCGCCCACTGATCACCTGGGGCGGGCTGGTTGGGGGGATGGGAAGGAGGTGCGAGGACAGGGTGAGAGAGGTGAGGAAAGAGGGAGTAGGCTTGTGCCAAAGGCAATAGCAAAGGGGGACAAGGAAAGACCAATCCGCTAGCAGTAGTATGAGTGTTCTGGAGAGATGGTCGGTCAAGCATAGAGAGCAGGCCCAGAGGGTGGTTGGGGTCAGGTCGGGTTGGATTGGGTAGGGTTGGGCTGGGTTGGGTTGGGTTGGGTTGGGCTGGGTTAGCACCGACCCAGTATTCTTCCAGGGCGGGGGCTGCTGCCGCAACTGCTGCTGCCGCCACTGCTGCTACCGCCACTTCTGCTGTTGCCACTGCTGCTGCCGCTGTTGGTTGGGGGGATGGGTAGGCAGCAGAGGAGGAGTGTCCAGCAGAGGAGGAGTGTCTAGCAGAAGAGAGTCTACTACAGGTTCGGCTGCAAGATCGGCTGTTGCAGGCTCGGCTGAAGGTTCATCTGCAGGAACGGCTGCAGGTTTGGCTGCAGGTTCGACTGCAGGTTCGGCTGCAGGTTCGGCTGCAGGATCGGCTGCAGGTTCTGGAGCTGATGAAGCACGATTTGGAGTTGGAACCCCTTCAGCAGCGACAGCACCAGTGGCAGCAGTAGTAGTAGCAGCACAAGTAAGGGGAGCAGTAGCGGGAGCAGTAGGGGGAGCAGTAGCGGGAGCAGTAGGGGGAGCAGTAGGGGGAACAGTAGGGGGAGCAGAAGGGGGAGCAGTACAGGGAGCAGAAGGGGGAGCAGTAGGGAGAGCAGTAGGGGGAGCAGTGGGGGGAGCAGTAGGGGGGGCACTGGGGGGAGCAGAAGGGGGACCAGTAGGGGGAACAGAGGCGGGAGGAGTGGGGGGAACAGTAGGGGGAGCGGTGGGGGGAGCACGTTCCACATCCTCCATCGCCACTGGTATGTGAGACTCACCAGCACCAGCAGCGGCAGCGGACGAAGAGTGGTTTTGGGATGAGGAAACGGGAAGAACAGAAGTCACAACACGATCAGCGGAATCAGCACCGGGATGAGCAAGATGCACCCGCATGCTTTCCCCAAATCTCCCTACGCTGGGACCCTTACTTCCCTCCATTCGTCCTCCCTCGCTGCACCCGCCGTCATCTGCTGCACCGGTCGCCATCCCACTGGCCCCACGGGGGCTGCTGCTGCCGCCAACCCACTTGGCCCACCCTGCTTGCACCCTGCTTGCGCCACTCTCGTTCGCTCCGCGCCCCTGCAGCAGTCCTAACTGGCCCAGTTGAACCTGCCTGCTTCTGCTGCTGCTGTTGCTGCTGCTACCTTGCTTCGTCCCCCCATGGACATCCACAAACGGTATGGTGCCTGCTACTGCTACTGAGCGCGTGGGCAGTGCAGGTTCGGCTGCTCTACTTGGGAGTGCTGCTGCTGCAACTGACGCGTCTGCTACCGTTGGTGGGCGCGTGGGAGGTGTAGTTTCAGCTGCGTTACGTGGGAATGATCCCTCCCTCCTCCACTCCCTATCTCTCACTCCCTTCCCTCTCCATTCCCCCTCTCTCACTCCCTCCGCCTCCTCCCCAACATGCTCCCTCACGCAACCCCCTTCATCCTCTTCACCCCTTCTCATGTCACCTGCCCCACCCACCCTCCCTACCTCCTCCTCTCCCCCAACCGCAACCAACCAATCTCACTCCATCTCCCTGTGCCCCTTGCTCTAACCCCCTCCTTTCTGTTGGAGTAGGCTAGAGCTCGCTCTGGTCTTTATTTTGGTGTTCTTATATTATTTCTCCATGCTTAGAGAGAGTTACGCACTCAGGTTCATTTTAGGTTCATTTCGTAGTTCTTATTACAAACCGAACACACCCTAGGTTCAATTAGGGTTTCCAACCCTCTCTCTTTTGTATCTCGACATTTTCTTCCTAGTGAAACTTTTTCGACCCTAACTAACTCTCTCGCCATCCATGGCTCCTCTCATCTTAACATGGTATTCAGAGCGTAGTCCTAGGCGTTTCATACTTATCCGTATTTCTTAGATAATCTCCGGCCCTTAGGCCATTTCCGCGCTACTTAGCTAGACGGTTTTTTATTATCTCCTTTCTTTCCCGTCACTCTTAAAAATCGCATTTTTTGTCACATTATACTCTCGCGGATCCCTCAATCCAGTCCGTAGCGCATCGCCATACCGCCCTTATCACTCTCCCGCGCCTTCCCATTCGTCGCGCCTTCTTCTCCTCCCGTTTCTGACGGTCGCGCGCCCATTTCCGCCCAAAGCGCGCTCTGCCGTCCCCCCGCTTCCCCCGTCCCGTCGCGCGCGCATTGCGCTCCCGCAGCCGCGCGCGCTAAGCACGGTCCGGCAGCGCGCGCGCCTGCCCTTCCTTGCGGCGCGCCCTGCCCTTCCTCAATCCGCCCCTTCCTTCACCCTCCTCCTCCTTCCCTCTCTCCTTTGTGCTTCCCCCCACTACCTCACCTCTTCCTCCTCCTATTTTCTCTCCCCATCTGCTGCGGCTCGCAGCTCCTTGTGGCGCGCCCTGCCCTTCCCACAATCCGCCCCTTCACCCTCCTCCTCCTCTCCTCTCTGTCAGAATGTTATTATTGTCTAGCCTGCAGTGGGGTACTCTATAGCGAGTACAACCCAATTAGGGTTTCCTATATGTATGCCAACTGCTGCTAGTGCAAACCCTCTTTCTTGTTTCTAACTTTCCACTTAGGGTTTCCTATATGTATGCCAACTGCTGCTGCAGTCGATTCTAACACTCTCTCCCACTAGTTCCCTCTCCACTATCTCACCCCTCCTCCACCTCTTTCCTCTCTTCATCTGCTGCAGCTGGTAGCTGATTGTGTTGTGTAGCTGTTGTTCCTCCACACCTTCCCTCCTCCTCAACATCCTCCTCTCAACTGCTCAACTGCAAACTCTTCACAATTCTCCCTCCTCCTCTTGTTTCTCCCTTCAGCGGCACAGCAGCAGACTTCTCCGCCGCTATCCCTCCTCCTCTGGTTTCTCCCCTCATCGGCGCAACAGCAGACTACTCCGCCATTTTCCCTCCTCCTCTGGTTTCTCCCCTCATCGGCTCAGCAGCAGACTACTTCGCCACTTTCCCTCCTCTTGTTTCTCCCCTCAGCGGCTCAGCAGCAGACTACCCCGCCCTTATTCCTCCGCCTCTTATACCTCTCCCCACATCTGCTCTGCAGCTGTTTCCTCCTCCTCATGGCGACCTCTCTCGCCCTCCCCTCCCTCCCTCTGCTGGTCCTTCAGCTTGCGCCCGATGGCAGTGCAGTCAACTTCCCCAGTTGGCTGAATTGTCTTGAGCGCACGCTGTCTGGCACCCTAGTGAGTGGCTTTAACCTTTGGTTTGTCACTCAGCAGAGTGGTTCTGGCGCCATTCCTACCTCTCCCTCTGCACCCACCTCTTCCCCCTCTGACCCCTATGCTGATGGCCTCCGTGCTGCCATTGCTGAAACTGAGCGGCTTGTGGCCACGGCGCAAGCCATCGCCACGGCTGCTCCTGACAATGCTGCTGCCCGTGACTTAGCTCGTATTCTTGCTGAGTCCCTCGAGAGCACCCGCAAGCGCCTCACTGAGCACCTCGCTGCCCCTTCTCCTCGCTCTGCCTCTACGCCCCTTTCCTCTGCTCCATCTCACTCTGACCTTCTCGCTCACTGGCATGTTGCCAACGCACGTGCCTGTCAGGTCATCCTTGCCTGCCTCCCTCCAACTCTTCTCCCTCAGTTCTCGCACATCCGCTATGCCAAGGACCTTCTCGGCTATCTCACCGAGCACTTTCAATCACAGACTCCCATCAGCGTCATTGCCCTCTTACGCGAGCTCACCTCTCTTCGTCTTGCTGACTTCACCACCATGGCAGACTATATCGCTCGTGTGCAGACGCTGTCCTCCCAACTTGCCGCTCAACAGTTTGAACTTTCCGATCATGTCTGCGGTGCCCTCCTCCTCACAGGCCTCACTCCTGAATACAGTGTTCATGTCACCTTGTATGGTGAGCGCCCCGCCGACCAGTGGTCATTCTCCCGTGTCTCTGCCTTCCTCCTCCAGGCAGAGCTCAACCTCCGCAGCTGCCCTCCTACTGCCGCTGCTGTCACACCCTCTTCTGCCCCTCCTCCTCTCTCCACCACCACTGCCGCCGCTGCTTCCTCTCGCCCTCGCAACACCTTTCCTCCTTGCACCTACATCATTCGCCAGGGGCCCCGCAAGGGTCAGCCCTGCGGTCGCACCAATCATCCCACCTCCTCCTGCTTCCAGAAGCTCACCGATGACTGGTTCCTAGCTGGCAACACTGGTCGCCCTCCCAACTGGCTCCAACTCTCTCGTCAGCGTCGCCAGTCCTCTGCTCAGGCGGTCCTTGCGGCCGCCGACTCTGGTGCAGGTGCTCAGACCTCTGCTCTCAGTGTGACTATGCCTAGTCAGGATAGCATTCTGGGGGCTTCTCCCCTTATGGACCCTCGTTTTGCCATGATGTTCGCTCCTTCTGTTAATGGCAATGATTCTCAGTATCTTGGTCCCACAGCTGCTGCTCTTTCCCTCCCTCGCACTCTTGAGTTTGTTCTTGACAGTGGTGCTACTGACTCTGTCTTTCGTGATGCTGGTGTGATTCGCTCTTTTCCCCGTCCCCTCTCCATTCAAGGGGCTGGGGATACCATGACCATGACTTGCACCGCTACCTCTTCTCTTCCCTGTCCTGCCTCCCCCTCTGGTGCTGTGACTGGCCTCTATGTTCCTTCATGCCGCCACAACCTTCTTTCTCTCTCTGCTCTTCAACGTCTTTGTGTGCGAACTATCTTTCCTGAATGTGACTCCTACTGTGATCTCTATCACCGCAACCGCCATCTTGCACGCTTCACTCTTTCTCCTATCACTCGCCTCTACACTCTTTGTGTCTCTCTTCCCCCTTCTGCCCATCATGCCTCTTCCGCTTCCGCCCCTTCCGTTCCCTCCTGCGACTGTCGCTCTCTTACTCAACCTACCCTTCTCCTTCATCATCGACTTGGCCACCCCAACTTTCCCCTTCTTCGCAGTATGGTCTCTTCTAAGCTTCTTCATGGCCTCCCTCTCTCTCTCCCCCCCCTTCCTCCCTCTCCTGCTCCTCCATGCACCCTATGTGTCCAGGCCAAACTCTCCCAGTCACCTCATCCCTCTTCTCCCTCTGCCTCTCCCCAACCCCTTGACCTTGTTCATATGGACCTCTGGGGTCCCTCACCTACTGCTTCTCGTCAGGGTCATCGATATTTTCTGCTTTTGGTTGATGACCACTCACGCTTTGCAACTGTCTATCGCGCGCTTCCATTCCGATGGTGGTGGCGAATTCTTTAATCACTCCCTCTCCTCTTACTGTGCCTCTCATGGCATTCGCCAGACCTCCACTCTTCCTCACTCCCCAGAGCAGAATGGGGTTGCTGAGCGTCGCAATCGCACTCTCATGGAAATTACTCGCTGCCTTCTCACCCATGCCTCTGCTCCCCACTCTCTTTGGAGCTATGCTCTTCTCCATGCCACTTTACTCTCTAACCTCCGCCCTCATCCTCTTCGCCCCACTACCACCCCCTTCCAGCTTTGGACTGGCTGACAGCCCTCTGTCCGCCCTCTTCGGGTATGGGGGTGTGTCGCCCATGTTCTTGTAAATCCAGCAGACCGATCTCGTCAGGGTGGGAAGCTCGCTCCCAAGACGCAACTCCGTGCATTCCTTGGCATCTACTCTGATTGTCCTGGTTATCTTTTCTACGCCCCCTCCTCTCACCAACTCATCTGCATCCAGGACGTCATTTTCGATGAGACCCACTCTCCATTCCATTCTCCCCCATCCGCCCCTCCTGTCCCTTCTCTTCACTGGTCTGGTTTCGATCAACCGTCGTCTGTCCTCCCCTCCCCTCCTCCCCCCCCTCCCATCCCGCCTCTTCCCGCCCCTCCCCCCGCACCAGCCTCTACTGCCCCCCCTTCCGACATCATCTCTGGCGCCTCCCCACCCGCCTCTTCTTCTTCGGCTCCCCTCCCTTCCTCGCCTCCATCTTCCTCTCAACCCCCTTCGCCCGCTCCCATCTCTCCCCCTTCCCCGCGCCTTATTCGCTCCATGACTCGCGCCCTTTCTCATTTTCAGCACTCTGCCCTTTTCACTTGTCTATCTCCATCCCAGGATGTGAATCTTCTTGAAGATCGCTTTGAGGAACTTTTCACCATTCATCCTGTTTCTCCTCTCCTATGTGTCACTGTCGGTGACTTTAGCAATTCTCCCACTCTTCTCTCTGTTGACACCGCTGCCATTCCCAACCCTCAGTCCTAATCCGAGGCCGTGTCAGGCTTTCATGCCACTGAGTGGATGGCTGCCATCATTGCTGAGTGTGAGGCATTTACCAGAACTAATTCCTACATTGACTCTGTCCCCCCCCCTGGCGCCACCATTGTCAAGGGCAAATGGGTCTTCCGTGTCAAGCAGCTGCCCGGCGAACTTCCTGTCTTCAAAGCCCGCTGCTGTGCCAAGGGCTTCACTCAGCGTGAAGGCATTGACTACTTTGCCACTTACTCCCCCACAGCCCGTCTCCCCACTCTCCGCCTCCTTCTTGACTTAGGTGCTCGCTGGAATTGGGAGATCCATTCCATGGACGTCTCCAATGCTTTCCTTCAGGGCGAGCTGCATGAGCGCATATTCCTTGAGCGTCCTGCTGGCTTTCCTCGCCCTTTCCCTCCAGGCACTGTTTGGGAATTAAAGCGACCTGTGTATGGCCTTAAACAGGCCCCGCGCGAGTGGCACGCCAAGCTCGCCTCCACCCTTCACTCTCTTGGCTTCTCTACCTCCACCTCCGACCCCAGTCTTTTCATTCGCACTTCCCCCCACAGACTCTACATTCTTGCCTACGTGGACGATTTGGTGCTGCTTGCTAAGGACTCCGCCGATCTTGCTGCTGTCAAGAAAGCCCTGCAGGCGCGTCTCCTGTGCAAGGATCTTGGCGAGCTTCGTCACTACCTCGGCATGGAGATCCGGCGTGATCGTGCTGCTTGCACCATCTCTCTCTCCCAGTCTTTCTACATCCAGTCCATCCTCCAGCGGTTCGAGATGTCGCAGGCCAAGCCGGTCTCCACCCCTCTTCCCGCTAACCATCAGCTCACTGCCCCTGCCGTCCCTGCTCCCTCCTCTGAGCTGCGGCCTTATCCTGAGCTCGTTGGGTCTCTTATGTATGCTATGATGTGCACTTGCCCCGACCTTGCTTACCCCCTCAATGTTCTCTCTCGCTTTGTCGGTCTAGGCCGCCACACTGACGTGCACTGGGCGGCTGCTAAGCGCGTCCTGCGCTATCTGCGCGCAACCTCTGACCTTGCTCTCACTCTTGGTGGCTCTGTTCCTCCCATTCTCTCCGGTTACAGTGACTCTTCCTACGCTGACTCTCGCCCTGATCGCCGCTCATCTCAGGGCTATGGTTTTACACTTGGCAGTGGTCTCATCAGCTGGCGCTCCACTCGCTCATCCTCTGTCTGCCTTTCCACCTGCGAGGCTGAGTTGTACGCAGGCACCTTGGCAGCTCAGGAGGCTCGCTGGCTCTCCTTTATCCTTGCTGAGCTTGGTCACTCTCAGACCTCTGTGACGCTCTCCTGTGACAGTGCGAGCATGATTCATCTCACTGAAAATCCAGTCTATCACGCCCGCAGCAAGCACATTGAGGTCCGCAATTTTTTCGTGCGCGAGTTGGTGCAGTCTGGCTTCTTACGTCTTCGCAAGGTGGACGCTGCTGCCAACCTTGCTGACATTTTCACCAAGGCCCTCCTGCGTGCGCCGCACCATTTCTACGTGCGCGAGCTTGGGCTCACGCGTCTCTCCACTTCTGGGGGTGTGCCGGTTCGCTAGGTGTTTTGCTCCAGAGCTTCGCCTAGCCTGGGGGTGTGTTGGAGTAGGCTAGAGCTCGCTCTGGTCTTTATTTTGGTGTTCTTATATTATTTCTCCATGCTTAGAGAGAGTTACGCACTCAGGTTCATTTTAGGTTCATTTCGTAGTTCTTAGTACAAACCAAACACACCCTAGGTTCAATTAGGGTTTCCAACCCTCTCTCTTTTGTATCTCGACGTTTTCTTCCTAGTGAAACTTTTTCGACCCTACCTAACTCTCTCGCCATCCATGGCTCCTCTCATCTTAACACTTTCCTCCTCCTCCTCCTTCCTAATTCCTTCCTCATCCTCTCCTCGCTCTAACCCCCTCCTCTCCTCCTCCTTCCTCTTTTCCTCCTCTCTCCTGTTCGCCTCCTCTCTCCTCTTCAGAGCAGCGAGCACCAGCCTCTCTTCCTCGTCTGACTCGGAGCAACTACCGTCCTCCTCATCACCGCTCTCCACCTTTCTCCACCTGCCGTCAGGAAACACCTCGACCTCGTTGACCTTGCTGCTCGATTCTCGGAGAATGTTTTGCACTGTTGGGAGCGATGGGGTGCAGTGCAGTGCGATGAGGATGGGTTTGAGTGCGAACCAATTTTCATACCGAAATTGTACTAGGTTATGAAAATGGGATAATCAGCCTCAAACTAGTCTAGGTCAGTTAGGATACCGATGACGGGAGGGCCTGTTGGTAGTGTGGAGGGGAGGGAAGGCAATTGAGAGGGTGTGTGTAGGGTGTTACAGAGGTTGCGTGGCGAAATGTGTTAGGCTGAGCTTGTCTCGCAAGTCAAGATCCTCGGCAGGGTCAGGGTCGACATCCAATCCAATCCAACTCGATTTGGATCGACTCAAAGTCAACTCAACTCGGGATATTGCTCGTGTCTAATCTGGAAACACCTCCACTTTCTCCTCCCCCTCATGTGTTTCAACGTGCACTGTTGGGGAGCGAGGGAGCAGGGCAACTGTTGAGTGCCACCAGAATCAGCACCAACCGCCGCACCGCAGACCACCCACCTTTATCCACCATGTGGAAATACCTCCCAATTGACATACTTCTTACTTGTTGCTTGGAGAATTAATTGCACTGGTGCAGTGCACGATGGTGGAGTGTGGTGCTATGGAGTGCAGTGACGAGCAGTGGGTTGTAGTGGGTTGAAGTGCAGTGCAGTGTGTTTATATATGAATATGATACTGAAATTATAGGTGTACTCACTGAATCCATCTAGGAACAACTCGGACCACAGCAGCTGCTGGTAGCAAATAGGGCAGCACCACGCCCGTTTAACGTTCTTCCCCAAGCCTTGGTTCATGCCAAGGTAAGGCGAGAGATCGAACGTGCTCTTATGGCAGCACTTTTTGCCACGCACTGGCACCTGCAGTGGGAGAAAGGAGAATGTGGGATGGGAGAATCAGTAGTTAATGGTTTAAATCTTGTAAGAGATCGGTTGAACGTGCTCTCATCATAATACTTGTCGCTCTGCATTGATACCTGCGGGGGTGGGACAAGGGCGGGGAAGGGGGGGGGGGGGAGAGGAGGAGGCGGGGGAGGGGGGAGGGGGAAGTGGGAGCGGGAAGGGGGAGCGGGAGGGGGAGGGGGGGGCGGGAGGGGGAGGGGGAGCGGGAGGGGGAGGGGGAGCGGGAGGGGGAGGGGGAGGTGGAGGGGGAGGGGGAGGGGGAGGGGGAGGGGGAGGGAAGGAGATCGAGGACAAGATGAAAGGAGGAAATAGAGGAGGGCAGGGATTGACGGAGGATCTGACCTTGATGCGGACGAAGGAAAGAGGGCACTTGAGGCTGATCACACAGGCTTGCATGTCAACGCCGTCCTCCCTCGACTGTGCCGCTGCGTTTCTCACCATCTCCTCCACCACCACCTCACTCGCCCGCACCTTCCTCGTTAGCATCACCTTCTCCTGTGAGTAAACGGGGAGAGAGGAAGTGGGGGAGGGGGAGAACGGGTCGATTCTCAACCTCGCGTGTCAATTCTTAGACATTCAGGAGTCAATTCTCATGCTCACTCGCCCGCACCATTCTCTCTAGCATCGCTGATCCCTGTGCCGCCACTCCCTCACCGAGTGCAGCTCCTCCCACTCCCTCGCCGAGTGCAGCTCCTCCCACTCCCTCGCCGAGTGCAGCTCCTCCCACTCCCTCACCGAGTGCAGCTCCTCCCACTCCCTCGCCGAGTGCAGCTCCTCCCACTCCCTCGCCGAGTGCAGCTCCTCCCACTCCCTCGCCGAGTGCAGCTCCTCCCACTCCCTCGCCGAGTGCAGCTCCTCCCACTCCCTCGCCGAGTGCAGCTCCTCCCACTCCCTCGCCGAGTGCAGCTCCTCCCACCCCCTCGCCGAGTGCAGCTCCTCCCACCCCCTCGCCGAGTGCAGCTCCTCCCACTCCCTCGCCGAGTGCAGCTCCTCCCACTCCCTCGCCGAGTGCAGCTCCACCCAATCCCTCGCCGAGTGCAGCTCCTCCCACTCCCTCGCCGAGTGCAGCTCCTCCCACTCCCTCGCCGAGTGCAGCTCCTCCCACTCCCTCGCCGAGTGCAGCTCCTCCCACTCCCTCGCCGAGTGCAGCTCCTCCCACTCCCTCGCCGAGTGCAGCTCCTCCCACTCCCTCGCCGAGTGCAGCTCCACCCAATCCCTCGCCGAGTGCAGCTCCTCCCACTCCCTCGCCGAGTGCAGCTCCTCCCACTCCCTCGCCGAGTGCAGCTCCTCCCACTCCCTCGCCGAGTGCAGCTCCTCCCACTCCCTCGCCGAGTGCAGCTCCTCCCACTCCCTCGCCGAGTGCAGCTCCTCCCACTCCCTCGCCGTGTGCAGCTCCTCCCACTCCCTCGCCGAGTGCAGCTCCTCCCACTCCCCCTTACCCCCCACGTGACACACCTTACCCAAGCACCCCAAGCGCTCACCAGCTGCTTGATGCCCTTCTCTGTGCGCATCATCTTTACAACCTCCGGGGGATTATGTGCCACCACGCGCTCCACCCAGTATAGGTCCACGTCCGCCCTCCCACATACCTCCCCTCCAACATCACAATTCTCTCCCAGGCTTTTTTGCCACTCTTGCGGGAACGCCGGCAGCAGCCGAACCACAGCCAAGACCGTATCAAATAGCTCCTTTGCTGCTCTCTCCTCTGCCTCCTTGCCCTGAAACGTATCATGCTCGTGGGGGCCCAGCCGCCCGTCGACCTTTCTATTCCACCAGGAAATCAGCTCCTGCAGCTGCATCTTCAACAGGTTCCCATGTTGCGCCGCTGCCTTCCTCCTCCGCTACTCCGCCTCCTTCGGATCCTTCTCCCATCTCGCCACTACGTTCTCCCTCACCGCTACAGGACTCTCATTCCCCTCACCGCCCTCCTCTCCTTGCCCCTCATCCTCTGCTGCTGCATCTCCACCTTCCGCTTCCCCCGGTCCCCACGCTACCTCCGCTCCCACTTCTCCCGCCTCCCTCTGCTCCCCTCTCGCTTCCTCTCCACTCGCCTCACCGTCTCCCCCATCCATTTGCTCTTTCAGAACCAAGGCCTTCACGCCAAAGAGCATCTCCACCTGTTGAATCAACTCATGGATGGTTTTGAGGAGCCTGTAGTGCAGAGACTCGAGCTCCTTTGGCTGCGCAGCAGGAAAGGCGTCTGAAGGATCCCCACCTTCCATCTCCATGTCTTCCTTCTTGTCCTCCATGCGAGCTGTTTTCAATCGCTTGCGATGCCACAGGTTCGGGAGGGGTTGCTGCTGCTGCTTTTGCTGCTGCTGCTGCTGCTGCTGCTGCTGCTGCTTCTGCTGCTGCTGCTTCCGCTTCTGCTGCTGCTGCTTCCGCTTCTGCTGCTGCTGCTGCTGTTGCTCCTGCTGTGGCTGCTGAGGCTGCTGTTGTAACCTCGACTGCGGCTGCTGTTGCTGGAGGTGTTGGCACATGCTGTTCTGCTGTTGCACGAGCTGTTGCTGCTGTAAAGGCACCTGATGCTGCTGCTGATTGCTCTGAGCAGTCAACCGCTGCTGCTGCCGTGATGGCTGCAACGCAGCTCCCTGCTGCAAGCGTGCTCCCTGAATCTGCTGTTATTCCGAATCTGCCGTGCTCCCTGAATCTGCTGTAATTCAGAATCTGCCGTGCTCCCTGAATCTGTTGTAATTCACACTCTGCCGTTCTCCCTGGATCTGCCGTTCTGCTCTCCGAATCTGCTGTCCTTGCTGGAGCTTCTGGGATTCAAAGTTACAGATGAAGCCGAATAGGTACTACTGTAGGACCATGAGCGCCCTGGGACGTCGTTGGGGCAAGAGGCAAGCCCATTCTTCGAGAGGGTATACGTTCAGGGGTATAGCGTGGCCTCAGCTACTCGCACAGTCGGTAGAGCTTATCTCTGCTTCATTCACACCGGGGACGCTCGAACCTCCCCGAGATCCTGGATTTGCAAGAGCTGTAACGGTCCAGAAAGGTGCTGCACGGTTCAGTAAGTCGGACTCCAAGCATGAGCAGGTTGGACAGCACGCGTAACCTCGAGACGGTCGAGACACACCCGGTTACCAGCAGGCCTCGTACAGCACGACGACACGCAGTTGTCGTGTAACGTTAGCCAACGCCAACTGTCGCATCGACCACAAGGAGTCTACCCGTCACACCCTCGCGGCAGCCTCTGCCGAGCCTGGGGTCCGTCGCCCGGGGCAGAGGGGTTCGTTGACGGCTCGTCCATTGGGTTCTCCAACGCCAACTGTCGCATCGAAAGCAACATGTCATCGGGCCACATCATCTGCATGACGGGAATAAACCGGCCTCGTCCTGGCGAACCGCCGGTGTAACGGATCCACTAACAGAAAGGGCATTTACCCATTTAATGATAGGTTCTAATACAAACAGAGAGTAGCAGCTCTTGGGAATCACTAAGTCTGGAGAGTGCTAGGAGATGCAGTAACAAACTGTGGAAGGTGAGTTGAGAGAAAGCAATCCTATTTCCCAATTGATTAGTTGGGGATAGGAAGTTGAGAATGAGCTAGCTTGGCTCAGACCCCTCCCTAGACCCCCTTGGGGTGCAGCCACCTTCCCCATGGCAAGGAAGGGTGCACCACCATGGGTCTTTGCCCATGTGGCAATGGTTGGGATTTCCAACCAATTAGATCATAGACAGCAAGGATAATAATGCAAACTTATCACAAACCTGAGTTGTTGCATTGGTTGCAATTTTAAGGGAGAGTTGCGTTGGAATTTGGTTGAAAGTTTCTGATTGGTTCTATTTCCAACCAGCGGCGGAAGTACCGCCGACTCACCTTCAGTGAGTATGTTCTGATTGGTTGGACTAGGGTGATGTTTGAACTTACGTGGGTTGTTTTCAAACCTGTCGCGTAAGTTCCTATCACAATTGTACAGCAGAGTTCTGATTGGCTAGTTTTCCAATCAAGGCAATTCCAAATTCCTCGCTTCCAATCAAACTCCAACCAATCCTATTTCTCCCTTGTTTCCCCCCTCAGCAGGTTCGACGAATCGAAACCAGGTGGGGGTAGGTCCGAATGTTACACTCCTCCCCCTCCAGCTGGCAACGTCCTCGTTGCCGTGGGGTGCTTCTTAGGACGAGTGCTGCGAGCACGACGAACCACATTACGACCAGGGTCAACACCATCCGCTGGTTGTGGGAGTGCTCGCTGAGCCAGGTCTTCCATGTAAGACTGAACCGCAGTATCAGTCAAATGTTCTTCCGGCTCCCATGAGTTGTGTTCAGGCCCATAACCTTTCCACTTAATGAGGAACTCTCGTACAGTCTTGCGGCCGCGTTGTCGATCACGATGCAAAAGCACTCGTTCAACTTCATAGTACAGTTCCTCCCCTAGGACGATTGTTGGTGGTGGTAAGTACTTGCCTTCTGCAACGTACTTGCTTAACAGAGACACATGGAAGACATTGTGAATCTGAAGGGTATCAGGTAGCTTGAGTTTATAAGCTACCTCACCAACTCGTTGAACTACCTCGAAGGGCCCAATCCAGCGAGGGAACAACTTTCTCGCACCAGGGATCTTAAGCCGAATATTTTTCGTGCATAACAAAACTTTGTCTCCAACGGAGAATGAGACTTCCCGGCGTTTCATATCGGCATAGGAATTTTGCCTTTGTTGGGCTAATTGCAGCCAATGACGTACCGACTTTAGGGCCTCTCGTTGCTTGCCCACAAAATCCTTTGCGGCAGGTAATTTCAAACCGCCGATCCCATGCGTAGCAGGTGTTGTGGGATGCCGACCACTGTTCAGGATAAATGGTTTTTCATGTGTGCTATCATGCACTGAGTTGTTAACCGCAAACTCGACCATGGGTAACAACTCGTCCCAATTGTCCTGTGTTGGGCTTATGAAAGAACGAAGCATCTGCTCGAGAGTGCGGTTAGTCCGTTCCGTTTGCCCATCTGTCTGGGGATGGAACGCTGACGACATCTTAAGATTCGTTCCTAGTGTCTCGATTACTTCACGCCAGAATCGGCTCGTGATGCGCGGGTCGCGATCAGACACTAATACACGTGGCAATCCGTGTAGACGGAACACATGTGTCACGAACAACCGAGCAGTATCCTCTGCTGACACGTCTGTTGTCGTGGGTACGAAGTGCACCATTTTTGTAAGGCGATCTACAAAGACGAGTATCGCCGTATACCCATCACGGGTTCTTGGGAGGTCGGTGATGAAATCCAGTGAAACGCTTTCCCAAGGTTCACTCGGAATTTCAAGTGGTTGAAGCAAACCACCAGGTTTCTGTGTGTCCGGTTTGTTACGTGCGCACGTGTCACAACGTGCCACAAATTGTTGGACATCACTACCGACTCCTGGCCACCAATACACATCTCGTAGGGCCCATCGGGTCTTATTCATGCCCAAGTGTCCCCCATATTTAGTGGCATGCACCTCTTCCAAAATATCGTTCCGCAGATTGCCTACTTGAGGTACCGCAATCTCTTTTGTTCGCCACCAAAGATCGTGTTCCCATGTCAAATGTCTGGTGTTTTGTGGGTTCTGGAACCAGGAATCTATATGATATCCTGTACGGATTCGTTTCAGAAAACCACTGAACGCGATCTCGCTCACTTTCGCCGCAGCTAGTATGCCAAAGCAGGCAGCGAAAACAGCCGCATGTTCGGTATCGTCAAGCCCGGTTGCTGCCCCTATCGGCTGTCTACTGAGGGGGTCAGCCAGGTTCGTGGAACCTGCACGATAACGAATGTCGAAACTGGACCCACTAAGGAGTTCAGCCCAACGGGCCTGACGGCGAGTGAGGGTAGCTTGGGTAGAAAAATATGTGTTCGGACAATGGTCAGTGGTGACCACGAACTCTACCCCTTCCAAGTAACATCGCCATGTTCTTAGCGCATGCACGACAGCCAACAACTCTTGTTCGGTCGTCGTGTAGCGTTGCTCTGCCGGGGAGAGTTTTCTACTCTCAAATGCCACAGGGCGTCCTTCTTGCAGGAGTACTGCACCAAGTCCCACCGTTGAGGCGTCCGTAACCACCTCATATGGTTTCTGTGGGTTTGGTAACACCAAAACTGGTGCGTTAGTTAATTTATGCTTGACCTCTTCGAAGGCCTTTTGGCACTGTGGAGTCCACTCCCATGTGCACCCTTTCCGGGTCAATGCCGTGAGGGGAGCGACTATTGTGGAATAATTTTCCAAGAAGCGACGAAAATAATTCGCCAGGCCCAGGAATGATCGAACTTGGCCAACGTCACGTGGGACGGGCCACTCCTGGACAACTGCTACCTTCTTGGGGTCCACTTTCAATCCGTTGTGCCCCACCACGTGCCCCAAATACTCTAGCTCACGTTTGTAAAAATGGCATTTCCACAAACGTGCGTAGTATTTGTGCTCGCGTAATTTTTCGAGGACCCATTTCAGATGTTCCGTATGCTCGTCTTCGGATTTTGAGTATACCAGGATATCATCGAGGTACACCAAGACGAACTGGCCAATCGCATCACGAAACACATCGTTCATCGCCCTCTGGAAAGAGGCCGGAGCGTTAGTCAAGCCAAAACTCAACACACGCAACTGAAAATGGCCGAACGGCGAACGGAAAGCCGTCTTTGGAACATCGCCCTCTGTTATACGCAATTGGTGATAGCCTTGCGCCAAATCCAGTGCACTAAACCATTGCGCACCCTGTAATCGATCAAATAGATCTTCTATCCGCGGAAGTGGATATCTATTTTTGATCGTAATTTTATTCTGGGCTCGATAATCGACGCACATGCGCAGTCCGCCCCCCTTCTTGTGAACGAACAAGATAGGTGCTCCATATGGGGACGCGCTGGGTTCTATCCATCCCTTTTTGAGGTATTCCTCAATCTGTTGTTTAGCCTCATCGTACTCAGCTGGACTGAGGCGATACAGAGGTCTAAATGGTGGTGCCTTCCCTGGTTCCACCGGGATGGTGTGGCAGACTGCACGGTCGGGAGGTAACCCGTCCGGAATTGGTTCAAAAACCTTGGAATATTCCTCTGCCAACGCCTTCATTTGAGGTGGGAAGTCCTCAATAATCTGTGAAGGGGTTGGTTCAGAGTCTAGCTGTACAACAAAAAGTGTATCAGCTCCCTTGACATGCTCTTTGAATTGGAGAGCCGATGCAAAGCGCACATCAAGAGCCAGGCTTTGAGGTTTGTCGTCCAGTGCATGGCGCTTTGGGACTTGCCATTGGAATGTCGTCCCATTCTTTGTGAATGAAAGCATGTTATCTTGGAAACTTAATATCACCTCATTAGGCCGCAACCAATCCATTCCCAAGACAATGTCTACGCCTGCTAGGAGGGGTAAGACAAAAACGCTGATGGTCTCCTGATATCCTTGGATATCCAGGTTGACCAACACATGTCCTCTGCATGGAATGATCATGTCATCCCCTATGCGGATAGAACAAGATGGTCCTTGAACAGGAACATTCAAATATCCCATCCACTTCTCATCGATCAATGACGCAGTTGCTCCTGTATCAACCAGGATCGAGGCACTGCGCCCATTTACGCGACCCGAAAACAAAATGTTTTGCTGATGTTTGGGTCGAATAGGACATGCTGTAATATCAGTGGGAGGCAAATAGTATGCCTTAATGCCGTGCTTGCTGCGTCCAAACGAACGAGCTTGTGTCCACCACACATGGTGTCCCTTATCCCACTGTGCTAACACGCTCCATCCGTGAAGTGCTCGAAACAATTTACCTCGAACTGTGCGCGTTACCATTTTAACCGCAGTTAGAGGGTGCGCTTGAGTGCAACGACCCACCACATCCATTATCCAAGGCAAATTTTGGTGATTACAAAATATAATTGAGAATTTATCTCGTAGTGATTCAACTGTGATATTTTCCAGTGGGTGAAATCGAGAGGCAAACAAAGAACTTTCATTAAAAGAAAATGCATACACACATGCAATTTTGCAATCAACAAGGCATTCGAGTTTCAACAACTCATCATCCCGTAGGACCACTGCCTCATCCTCTCGATCTACTATGCCCGCTAGGTACCCACCCCCTAGTTGGGCTTTGCAAAATCCCGCTGGCTGCCCGAGGGACCACTGCCGTCATTGCGCCTGTTGTCCGTCTTAGGCTTACCAGAGTACTTCACCGACTTGCGGTGGCGGCACTCATAGCCCTTGTGTCCAGGCTTGCCGCACTTGAAGCAGCTCTGGACATTGCTTGGTCCACCCTCGTTGACCTTCTTGGCCTTGTGGTCAGCCTGCTGCCCCCGCTGGAAGGGCCTCTTGTGGTTCCTGCCCTTCCAAGACATTCCCTGCTGCCTTCCACTTGGACCCGCAGGGCTAGACGACGGCCTTGGGGCCTGCTGCGGCTGGGTGGTGGTTTTTGCATAAGCACGGAAATGCTTATCAGTGGTCCCCACCACGCGCTTCACGTGGTCGTAGGACCTCCATGCCTCCCCAGCCCCATCAGTCATTTGCATGTTCTGGAGATGTTCAGGCAGCCCCCTGAAGAACAAGTGGATCTTGTCACCCTCGCTCATGCGTTCTGCCGGTTTCTGCAGCACCCAGATCTCCTCGAACTCCACATCGTACTGCTGCACTGTGCGGTTCCCGCACTGCAGCTTCTCAAGGCGGATGCGCACCTCCAGCTGGGTCGGCTGGACCTGGAAAGCTTGCTTGAGTGCAGATGCGAATTCCTCCCACCCAAACGGCTTCCTATCCACCTCAGCCTGGATCTTGCTGCCATACACCACTCGCTGTGCATTCTGGTCCAGCACGGTGGTGGCAGCGACGACGCGAGCGTCGTCTTGGACCTTGTGCGCCTTGAACAGGTCGGTCATCATCGACAACCACGCAGCCACGTTCGTCTTGCCATGGATGAATGGCGGCAGGGTGATTGGCAGAGAGCCAAAAGCCTACGTGTTCGGCTCAGCAGCGCGTTGCGTAGAAGGTCCGGGTCACCCGCCACACCACCAGAGCGAGAAGGGTTGGTGCGACCGCTAGCAGAGTTGGCATGCGGGTCCGCTCGTGGTGCAGGGCGATACATGGTCTCCCTTCGGAGGGCACTGAAAGCCTCGCGCAGCTCGTTGGTCTTTGAAGTCTGCCTCGCCATCTGATGAACGTGCTCCCGCGCATCATGCTTCATGTTTTTAAGCTCAACTTCCAGGTACTTGATTTTGTTGTCCTGGTCAGAGAGCTCTCTCGTGAGGTTGGTAATAAGTGACTGCTGCAGCTGGATGCGCGTATCCTTCTCAACAGCATGATCCTGCAGCTTAGCAAGTTCAGCATGCAGAATGTCATCCTCCCCTTCCAACTCAATGTCATCCTCCTGAGACTCCTCTTCCTGCCCCTTAGAATTTTCAGCAGCTGGAGGGTCCTTAGCAGGGGAGTTTTCACCAGGATCCTTTTCAGCCATCTCCTCATCCATGTTGTTCAAATCAATTTTCTGCACAGAAGCTTCAAGATCAGCATGGGAGTTGTTGCCTTCAACACCACCAGCATTGGAGTTGGTAGAAGCCATTAAGAAGAAAGTCACTGTATTATAAAAGTGAGTTACAGATCTACTGCAAATTGTTATCACCGCAGTGAATAACCAAGATTTTCTCCAAAGGAGAAATTTCTTCAATAGATCTTACAACCACAGCAATGTGAAAAACAACTCTGTTGCAAAATATCCTTACCACCGCAGTGGATAAGGCAAGAACAATCACAAAGTGATTGTTTTCAACAGAGAGAGTTAATCCACACAAGTTGCAACTTCTTCACAGTGGCTCCAGTAGTTCCACCAGCAGGGAGGGAGGGAGGGGGTAGAACTCTTGGAGAAGCTTCCAAATCTTGAAAACTTGAGCTTGAGTAGCTTGTAGTCTTCAAAATCTTATAATATGGATATTACAATGAAAAGCACAACTCCTCCAAGAAAAAGAAAATGAAAAATCCTCTTAGATGCCCACAAGGCGAGGATCTACTAATAGCTCTGATTACCAATGTAACGGATCCACTAACAGAAAGGGCATTTACCCATTTAATGATAGGTTCTAATACAAACAGAGAGTAGCAGCTCCTGGGAATCACTAAGTCTGGAGAGTGCTAGGAGATGCAGTAACAAACTGTGGAAGGTGAGTTGAGAGAAAGAAATCCTATTTCCCAATTGATTAGTTGGGGATAGGAAGTTGAGAATGAGCTAGCTTGGCTCAGACCCCTCCCTAGACCCCCTTGGGGTGCAGCCACCTTCCCCATGGCAAGGAAGGGTGCACCACCATGGGTCTTTGCCCATGTGGCAATGGTTGGGATTTCCAACCAATTAGATCATAGACAGCAAGGATAATAATGCAAACTTATCACAAACCTGAGTTGTTGTATTGGTTGCAATTTCAAGGGAGAGTTGCGTTGGAATTTGGTTGAAAGTTTCTTATTGGTTCTATTTCCAACCAGCGGCGGAAGTACCGTCGACTCACCTTCAGTGAGTATGTTCTGATTGGTTGGACTAGGGTGATGCTTGAACTTACGTGGGTTGTTTTCAAACCTGTCGCGTAAGTTCCTATCACAATTGTACAGCCGAGTTCTGATTGGCTAGTTTTCCAATCAAGGCAATTCCAAATTCCTCGCTTCCAATCAAACTCCAACCAATCCTATTTCTCCCTTGTTTCCCCCCTCAGCAGGTTCGACGAATCGAGACCAGGTGGGGGTAGGTCCGAATGTTACAGCCGGTTTGCATGCGTTCCCTCGCGTAACTCGTGTTTCCTATTTTCCAACGCCGTCGCATAGCGCAACACGGGCGGCGGGACATGGCCAAAAAGCGCCCGCCAGCTGGGAAAGACGCGACGCGAGGTGCCCTCGATCTAGCGATGACGCCAGCTGGTGTCCTAGTAAGTCGATCGAACTCTGGCGCAGAGAAACATAGGGCTGCACCCTTTCTGTAGGATGCGCTAAAGAACTATGGTATGTATTTCGGATAACATGTCAGAATGTTATCATTGTCTAGCCTGCAGTGGGGTACTCTATAGCGAGTACAACCCAATTAGGGTTTCCTATATGTATTCCTACTGCTGCTAGTGCAAACCCTCCTTTCTTCTTTTTACTTTCTACTGCTAGTTCTGATATGGTATCAGAGCAGGTCGACCCTCCTGGGTCGATCCTGTGGGTGGGCCCACCACCTCATGCTTCCGCTGCTGTACTACTTGTCGGGCGCCTCGGTCGCGCGACGCCTTCTACTGAATTTTTTTTAGGGTTTTCAGCCCGCCGTGCGCCCCGAGGCGCGCGGCGGTTTCCTACCGTGGGGGACTCGCGCGCGCCCCCGCCCTGTCCGTCGCGGCGCCCTGGGGGACACGCGCGCTGCCCCCGCTGCCCCGTCGGTGGTCGTGTCGCCCCGCCACCCCGTCGCGCCGCCCTGGGGAGCCGCGTGCGACCCCCCGCTGCCCCGTCGACCCTCGCGTCGACCCGCGGGACCCGCGCGCGACCCCCGTCGACCCTCGCGTCGCCCCCGGGGACCCGCGAGCCGCCCCTGGAGCCGTGCGCGACCCCCCCGCTGCCCCGTCGCGGCGCCTTGGGGAGCCGCGCGCGGCCCCTCGCTGCCCCATGGTGGCGCCCTGGGGGCCGCGCGCCTCCCCCCTCGCCGTCCCCCGCGCTCCTACCCCGTACCACCCGTTTTAGGGTTTGGGGGTGGGGAGTGTGGGGGTGGCGGTTGTGGGGGTGCCGGTTGTGTGCCCCGTCCCCTACTCCTCCTCCTCCTCCGTCTCCCGCTGCTGCAGCTGCCGCTCAGGGGGGTGGGTGTGTGGGAGCCGCAGGAGTGGTGCTAGGGGGGTGACGTGGGAGTGGAGCTAGAGGTACAGCAGGGGGTGTGTGGAAAGGAGTTGGGACTGTTTGGGGAGGCTGAGAGGAGGCCGCCGTCGTGTCGTGTGCAGCGCCTGTAGTCCGGAGCCCTCGCGCTCTCGGTAGCCCAGAGAGCCTTGCTGTGCCAGTCGCCTGTGGGTCCGTTGCTCCTGCCGCTTGTCGTAGCCGCGGAGTCAGATACTCCCGTAGTCCGGTGCCCTCGTGCGCTCGGTAGCCACTGTGCCAGTCCTCCTGTTGCCCGTGTGTCTGCAGCTTCAGCCGTCGTCTCCCATCTTCTCTCCCTTCACAATTTCTCCTCCTCACTTGCCCTCTGTGATCGCCTCTAGCTTTGCTTATAATTGTGAACCTGCTCTATGACTGCTTGCTCTGCTGATTATACCCCACTTTGACTATGGGGGTGTGTCAGAATGTTATCATTGTCTAGCCTGCAGCGGGGTACTCTATAGCGAGTACAACCCAATTAGGGTTTCCTATATGTATTCCTACTGCTGCTAGTGCAAACCCTCCTTTCTTCTTTTTACTTTCTACTGCTAGTTCTGATATAACATACACAACGGAAACCCACTAGTTCGAACTGCATATTGTCAGAAGTCTTGCCATTGTTGATTTTTTCTCTAAACTCCAAGCACTGAAGAAGGCACACAACTTAAACTGCGTCAAACTGCTGAAGGATGTGCCAGCCAGTATTCACATGAGTAAATAGGGAACTCACAACAGCTCAACAGACAGATTGGATGAATTAATAACATCCTTCGAAAATACTCAAATTACGGTACCGTACTAGGAAAGCATGGCAACTTCCACCAAAACCATCTGTAGTGCACATGAACAATTCGTTTCAAAAGTGTCTCATGTCTTTGGGCGGCCGGAAATTGATCGGATGAGTCTCCGGAGTGGCGTTTTCGTCCTCCTTCCACATCTTGATGGTTTTATCCGCTTCACATGTCACCAGGCGCTTGCCCGTCACGTCAAAGCCCATCGCATAGATGCCCGCCTCGCTGTCAAGCGAGATTGTGAAGGCAGGAAAAGCGGATGGAGGGAGGAGTAGGAGCAGGGGGGGAGGGTTGGTGAATGCGTGAAGAGCACTTGTGTGGGAGAGTTGGAAGAGCAGACCAGAGGAACAGACGGAACAGGAGAAACCACTGGCGAGAGAGAGTGTGAATCGATATGTTTTGAGCACACAGAGCACAGAGGGAGAGTGACGCACCGGGCTGCACGATCGTCTGTGTCTGCTGAAAGTTGTGTCCACTCTTCCAGTCCCAGAACCAGATGGACCCATTGTCACCTGCACAGTGATCAGATCACCCTTCACTCACTGCATGTTGTGCAGGAACTTGCCCTTCACTCACAGCATGTTGTGCAGGAACTCGCCCTTCACTCACAGCATGTTGTGCAGGAACTCGCCCTTCACTCACAGCATGTTGTGCAGGAACTCGCCCTTCACTCACAGCATGTTGTGCAGGAACTCGCCCTTCACTCACAGCATGTTGTGCAGGAACTCGCCCTTCACTCACAGCATGTTGTGCAGGAACTCGCCCTTCACTCACAGCATGTTGTGCAGGGACTCGCCCTTCACTCACAGCATGTTGTGCAGGAACTCGACCTTCACTCACAGCATGTTGTGCAGGAACTCGCCCTTCACTCACAGCATGTTGTGCAGGAACTCGCCCTTCACTCACAGCATGTTGTGCAGGAACTCGCCCTTCACTCACAGCATGTTGTGCAGTGCAGGAACTCGCCCTTCACTCACAGCATGTTGTGCAGGAACTCGCCCTTCACTCACAGCATGTTGTGCAGGAACTCGCCCTTCACTCACAGCATGTTGTGCAGGAACTCGCCCTTCACTCACAGCATCTTGTGCAGGAACTCGCCCTTCACTCACAGCATGTTGTGCAGGAACTCGCCCTTCGCGCATACCTTCGCTCATACTTTCTACTTTTTGAACACTCTTGTGCAATCGTCGCTACTTCGATTCATTACACCCGTATCACCAGTCAAACCTTCGATCGGATACGCTCAATGCGTCGGATTTCGCATCTGACGCATTGACCGCGTCAGAATCTTCCTTAATCCGCGTAGAAACGGATTTGCAAATGTTGAACAGCACTGAAAACTTCAGTCAACACCAACGGGGGGGTCTTAAAATGTTTAATAGCAAAAGGGGGGTCCTTACAGATTAGACCATATTAAGCGTACACCCCCCCGCATCCCATTATTATTCCAGAGGGTCTTATATCCAGGAAAATACGGGTGTATGTAGTAGCTTCTGAAGCTGTGGTTTTGGCAATAGATAGGAATCAAAACCATACCCTACTATTGCCTGATAATAGCGTTCTTTCAAACTACAAGGACAACACGGCAGTGCACATGCACAATTCGTTTCAAAAGCGCCGCATATCTTTGGGCGGCCGGAAATTAATGGGATACCTCTCGGGCGTGGATTTTTTATCCTCTTTCCACATCTTGATAGTGTTATCCGCCTCACACGTCACCAGGCGCTTCCCCGTCATGTCAAAGCCCATCGCATAGATGCCCGCCTCGCTGTCAAGTGAACCTGAAAAAAACAGAAAGCAGATACCGGTAGAAGATATAAAGATGGCAGTCAAAGGGGAAGACGGCAGATAATATGTGTATATCAAGTGAGTGGGTGGTCTGGCATCAGAGGAAAAAGGTTTCTGAGAGAGGACATGACCTAGAGAGAGGAAAAGCCATGCAGAAGAAATGGAGAGTCCAACACTAGCTAACAAAGAACACGCGGGACAGAGGAGAGAGTGGAGGAAGACGCACCGGGCTACACGATAGTCTGTGTCTGCTGGAAGTTGTGTCCGCTCTTCCAGTCCCAGAACCAGATAGACCCGTTGTCACCTGTGATTATACATGTGTGGATGGGGATGATGGGTGCTGAGGTAACGATGGGGTAGGATGACCAATGTTAATGCACGATGGTCGTCCAGTCCCAGAACCAGATGCAGATTGGGACCACAAGGATGCATCAGAGAGAAGTCAAGGAACGAGGAAGTTCAGGGGGTTCAGGGAAGATCTAGCAGGTTCTTGTGGGAAAAATAGATGTCGCAAGGCGACAAAAGAGGAAGGGAGTAGCAAGATTTCAAGAGCCTGGAAGAGGTTTCAAAAAAGGGAGGAAGAAGTGGAATAGAGGAGAGGAGAGGGGCTGGGGAGCAGAGGAGAGGGGCAAGGGAGAGAGGCGGGGGAGCGAACCTCCTGAGGCGAGCACGTTGTCCTCGTTCACATCTGCTGTGTTGATGATGGTGCGCTGCTGTGAGCTGCGGTGGAGAGCGATGTAAAGGGGTGCGGGGTGGGGTAGAAGCAGGCAGGATGGATAGAGGGTAATCAGCAATGCAAGTAAGTAGGCACTCTGCACGAACGAGTCTCAGTGGCGGTATGAGAGAAGAAAATGTGCAGCCCATGATTGAGAGAGGTCCTTGTTTGAATCCTATGAAAAAACAAAATATATTAAGAAGACAAGAATAATCTCGTGTACCTTGTGCAGGGACTCGCCTTTGGGCAGTTCGTACGAAATCACAGTAGCATAACATGAGATGCATACAAATGAACAGGGAAAAACAAACAAATACAAAGGGAGGGAGAGGGAGGGAGGGCATGGAAGGGCTCACAGCATGTTGTGCAGGAACTCCTCCTTGGGTAGTTCGTACTTCAGCGCAAAGGCATAGCATGATGTGCACACCAGGAATGAACTAAGAGGAGGAAGAGAGGGAGGGCGGGCAGCACGGGCCTCACAGCATGTTGTGCAGGAACTCGCCCTTGGGCAGTTTGTACTTCTTTATGTTGTCCGCTGATGCCGACACAAACGTCTTCCTGCCCATGGGGGGGGGGGGGGGGAGGAGCATGGTAAGAAACAGAGGGAATGATGCCAGGAGTCGAAGAAATGGACTCAGTGAGACCGGGCACACATGGCAGCAGAGATTGCAGGGCCGTAGGGCACGATGAGCATTGGCCAGGCAGGGGGGGGGGGAGGGGGGAGGCTTACTCGAAGGGGTGCTTAGAGAGGGCTCGGACAGACTTCTTGTGGTAGGCTAGGGTTGACATGGCCTCGCCTGGTGGCACGTGGGGTACACACAACACAACCAAGATGCGCAGAGATGAGATCATGCAAAGCTCCCTTCGACTTTGATTGGTCACATACACACATGTCCACATGCCAACGCATGGGAGAGCATGGCAATGAATGGGAGAGCGTGGCAACGCATGGTAGAGCGTGGCAACGCATGGTAGAGCGTGGCAACGCATGGTAGAGCGTGGCAACGCATGGTAGAGCGTGGCAACGCATGGTAGAGCGTGGCAACGCATGGTAGAGCGTGGCAACGCATGGTAGAGCGTGGCAACGCATGGTAGAGCGTGGCAACGCATGGTAGAGCGTGGCAACGCATGGTAGAGCGTGGCAACGCATGGTAGAGCGTGGCAACGCATGGTAGAGCGTGGCAACGCATGGTAGAGCGTGGCAACGCATGGTAGAGCGTGGCAACGCATGGTAGAGCGTGGCAACGCATGGTAGAGCGTGGCAACGCATGGTAGAGCGTGGCAACGCATGGTAGAGCGTGGCAACGCATGGTAGAGCGTGGCAACGCATGGTAGAGCGTGGCAACGCATGGTAGAGCGTGGCAACGCATGGTAGAGCGTGGCAACGCATGGTAGAGCGTGGCAACGCATGGTAGAGGGAGGCATAGAACTCACCTGCTGCCAGGTCCCAGAGTTTGACGGTTACCTCTCCTCTTACCTCGGATCTTCTGAAGATGTTCTGTGAGAGTCGGCTTCAGCACGTTTCTGAAGACACGCCCTCACCTCTAGGCATCCCTCCTCACCTTTCTGCATCCATCATCTTCACCTCGCCTCAATCTTCCTCACCTCTCCCCATCCCTCCTCATCCCTCTTCACCTCGCCCCACCCCCCCTCAACGCGGATCTGCTCAATGTGGCCTGTGAGAGTCAGCTTCAGCTTGCCTGTCGCCAGCTCCCAGATCTGCACGCACAAGGAAGGGTGAATGGATGGTGAAGAACACATGAATCACAAAAATGCAACAGTACAGCACGGGACATGCGAAAAAGTGGGGGTAGGGTGGGTGGGAGTGGGGGGCAACACCTCAAACGCCACTGAGCGCACCCACCCCATGCGCCCACTGATCACCTGGGGCGGGCTGGTTGGGGGGATGGGAAGGAGGTGCGAGGACAGGGTGAGAGAGGTGAGGAAAGAGGGAGTAGGCTTGTGCCAAAGGCAATAGCAAAGGGGGACAAGGGAAGACCAATCCGCTAGCAGTAGTATGAGTGTTCTGGAGAGATGGTCGGTCAAGCATAGAGAGCAGGCCCAGAGGGTGGTTGGGGTCGGGTCGGGTTGGATTGGGTAGGGTTGGGCTGGGTTGGGTTGGGTTGGGTTGGGTTGGGTTGGGTTGGGTTGGGTTGGGTTGGGTTGGGTTGGGTTGGGTTGGGTTGGGTTGGGTTGGGTTGGCACTGACCCAGTATTCTTCCAGGGCGGGTGCCACTCAGGCTTGGCCCACTTGCTGGGCAGACGGCGACTGATGGCTGTTCCTGCCGCCACTGCAGCTGCAGCCACTGCTGCTGCCGCCACTGCTGCTGCAGCCACAGCTGCTGCCGCAACTGCTGCTGCCGCCACTGCTGCTGTAGTCACAGCTGCTGCCGCAACTGCAGCTGCAGCCACTGCTGCTGCCGCCACTGCTGCTGCAGCCACAGCTGCTGCCGCAACTGCTGCTGCCGCCACTGCTGCTGTAGTCACAGCTGCTGCCGCAACTGCAGCTGCAGCCACTGCTGCTGCCGCCACTGCTGCTGCAGCCACAGCTGCTGCCGCAACTGCTGCTGCCGCCACTGCTGCTGTAGTCACAGCTGCTGCCGCAACTGCTGCTGCCGCCACTGCTGCTGTAATCACTGCTGCTGCCGCCACTGCTGCTGCCGCCACTTCTGCTGTTGCTGCTGCTGCTGCCGCCACTGCTGCTGCCGCTGTTGGTTGGGGGGATGGGTAGGCAGCAGAGGAGGAGTGTCCAGCAGAGGAGGAGTGTCCAGCAGAGGAGGAGTGTCCAGCAGAGGAGGAGTGTCCAGCAGAGGAGGAGTGTCCAGCAGAGGAGGAGTGTCCAGCAGAGGAGGAGTGTCCAGCAGAGGAGGAGTGTCCAGCAGAGGAGGAGTGTCCAGCAGAGGAGGAGTGTCCAGCAGAGGAGGAGTGTCCAGCAGAGGAGGAGTGTCCAGCAGAGGAGGAGTGTCCAGCAGAGGAGGAGTGTCCAGCAGAGGAGGAGTGTCCAGCAGAGGAGGAGTGTCCAGCAGAGGAGGAGTGTCCAGCAGAGGAGGAGTGTCCAGCAGAGGAGGAGTGTCCAGCAGAGGAGTGTCCAGCAGAGGAGGAGTGTCCAGCAGAGGAGGAGTGTCCAGCAGAGGAGGAGTGTCCAGCAGAGGAGGAGTGTCCAGCAGAGGAGGAGTGTCCAGCAGAGGAGGAGTGTCCAGCAGAGGAGGAGTGTCCAGCAGAGGAGGAGTGTCCAGCAGAGGAGGAGTGTCCAGCAGAGGAGGAGTGTCCAGCAGAGGAGGAGTGTCCAGCAGAGGAGGAGTGTCCAGCAGAGGAGGAGTGTCCAGCAGAGGAGGAGTGTCCAGCAGAGGAGGAGTGTCCAGCAGAGGAGGAGTGTCTAGCAGAGGAGGAGTGTCCAGCAGAGGAGGAGTGTCCAGCAGAGGAGGAGTGTCCAGCAGAGGAGGAGTGTCCAGCAGAGGAGGAGTGTCTAGCAGAAGAGAGTCTGCTACAGGTTCGGCTGCAAGTTCGGCTGTTGCAGGCTCGGCTGAAGGTTCAGCTGCAGGAACGGCTGCAGGTTTGGCTGCAGGTTCGGCTGCAGGATCAGCTGCAGGTTCTGGAGCTGATGAAGCACGATTTGGAGTTGGAACCCCTTCAGCAGCGACAGCACCAGTGGCAGCAGTAGTAGTAGCAGCACAAGTAAGGGGAGCAGTAGCGGGAGCAGTAGGGGGAGCAGTAGCGGGAGCAGTAGGGGGAGCAGTAGGGGGAACAGTAGGGGGAGCAGAAGGGGGAGCAGTCGGGAGAGCAGTAGGGGGAGCAGTGGGGGGAGCAGTAGGGGGGGCACTGGGGGGAGCAGAAGGGGGACCAGTAGGGGGAACAGAGGCGGGAGGAGTGGGGGGAACAGTAGGGGGAGCGGTGGGGGGAGCACGTTCCACATCCTCCATCGCCACTGGTATGTGAGACTCGCCAGCACCAGCAGCGGCAGCGGACGAAGAGTGGTTTTGGGATGAGGAAACGGGAAGAACAGAAGTCACAACACGATCAGCAGAATCAGCATCGGGATGAGCAAGATGCACCCGCATGCTTTCCCCAAATCTCCCTACGCTGGGACCCTTACTTCCCTCCATTCGTCCTCCCTCGCTGCACCCGCCGTCGTCTGCTGCACCGCCCTCGAAACACCTCGACCTCCTTGACCTTGCTGCTCGATTCTCGGAGAATGTTTTGCACTGTTGGGAGGGTTGGGGTGCAGTGCAGTGCGATGAGGATGGGTTTGAGTGCGGACCAGATTTGATACCGAAAATTTACTAGGTTATGAAAACGGGATAATCAGCCACAAACTAGTCTAGGTCAGTTAGGATACCGATGACGGGAGGGCCTGTTGGTAGTTGGGGAGGGGAGGGAAGGCAATCGGGAGGGTGTGTGTAGGGTGTTACAGAGGTTGCGTGGCGAAATGTGTTAGGCTGAGCTTGTCTCGCAAGTCAAGATCCTCGGCAGGGTCAGGGTCGACATCCAATCCAATCCAACTCGATTTGGATCGACTCAAAGTCAACTCAACTCGGGATATTGCTCGTGTCTAATCTGGAAACACCTCCACTTTCTCCTCCACCTCATGTGTTTCAACGTGCACTGTTGGGGAGCGAGGGAGCAGGGCAACTGTTGAGTGCCACCAGAATCGGCACCAACCGCCGCACTGATTGACATACTTCTTACGCGTTGCTTGGAGAATTATTTGCATTGGTGCAGTGCACGCTAGTGGAGTGTGGTGCTATGGAGTGCAGTGACGAGCAGTGGGTTGTAGTGGGTTGAAGTGCGGTGCAGTGTGTTTGTATATGAATATGATACTGAAATTATAGGTGTACTCACTGAATCCATCTAGGAACAACTCGGACCACAGCAGCTGCTGGTAGCAAGTAGGGCAGCGCCACGCCCGTTTAACGTTCCTCCCGAAGCCTTGGTTCATGCGAAGGTAAGGCGAGAGATCGAACGTGCTCTCATGGCAGCACTTCTTGCCGTGCACTGGCACCTGCAGTAGAAGAAAGGAGAATGTGGGATGGGAAAATCAGAATAAAATGTTTGAACCTTGTAGGAGATCGGTTGAACGTGCTCTCATCATAACACTTCTTGCTCTGCATTGATACCTGGGGGGGTGGGGCAGGGGCGGGGAAGGGGGGGAAGAGAGGACAAGGCGGGGCAGGGGGAGGGGGAGGTGGGAGCGGGAAGGGGGAGCGGGAGGGGGAGGGGGAGCGGGAGGGGGAGGGGGAGGGGGAGGGGGAGGGGGAGGGGGGAGGGGGAGGGGGAGGGGGAGCGGGAGGGGGAGGGGGAGGGGGAGGGGGAGGGGGAAGGGGAGGGGTGGGAGGAGGAGAAGGAGATCGAGGACAAGATGAAAGGAGGAAATAGAGGAGGGCAGGGATTGACAGAGGATCTGACCTTGATGCGGGCGAAGGAAAGAGGGCACTTGAGGCTGATCACACAGGCTTGTGATTCAACGCCGTCCTCCCTCGACTGTGCCGCTGCGTTTCTCACCATCTCCTCCACCACCACCTCACTCGCCCGCACCTTCCTCGTTAACATCACCTTCTCCTATGAGTAAAAGAGGAGAGAGGAAGCGGGGGAGCGGGAGAACGGGTCAATCCTCAACCTCGCGTGTTTGTTATCTTAGACATTCAGGAGTCAATTCTCATGCTCACTCGCCCGCACCTTTCTCTCTAGCATCGCTGCTCCCTGTGCCGCCACTCCCTCACCGAGAGTGCAGCTCCTCCCACTCCCTCACCGAGAGTGCAGCTCCTCCCACTCCCCCTTACCCCCCACGTGACACACCTTTCCCAAGCTCCCCAAGCGCTCACCAGCTGCTTGATGCCCTTCTCTGTGCGCATCATCTTTACAACCTCCGGGGGATTATGTGCCACCACGCGCTCCACCCAGTATAGGTCCACGTCCGCCCTCCCACACACCTCCCCTCCAACATCACAATTCTCTCCCAGGCTTTTCTGGCACTCTCGCGGGAACGCTGGCAGCAAGCGAACCACAGCCAGGATCGTCTCAAAGAGCTCCTCCTTCGCTGCTCTCTCCTCCGCCTCCTTGCCCTGAAAGGGATCATGCTCGCGGGGACCCAGCCTCCCTTCGATTCTCTGCCACCAGGAGATCAGCTCCTGCAGCTGCAACTTCAACAGGTCCCCATGCTGCGCCGCTGCCTTCCGCCTCCGCGACTCCGCCTCCTTCTGATCCTTCTCCCATCTCGCCACTACGTTCTCCCTCACCGCTACAGGACTCTCATTCCCCTCACCGCCCTCCTCTCCTTGCCCCTCAACCTCTGCTGCTGCATCTCCACCTTCCGCTTCCCCCGCTCCCCACGCTACCTCCGCTCCCACTTCTCCCGCCTCCCTCTGCTCCCCTCTCGCTTCCTCTCCACTCGCCTCACCGTCTCCCCCATCCATTTGCTCTTTCAGAACCAAGGCCTTCACGCCAAAGAGCATCTCCACCTGTTGAATCGACTCATGGATGGTTTTGAGGAGCCTGTAGTGCAGAGACTCGAGCACCTTTGGCTGCGCAGCAGGAAAGGCGTCTGAAGGATCCCCACCGTCCATCTCCATGTCTTCCTTCTTGTCCTCCATGCGAGCTGTTTTCAATCGCTTGCGATGCCACAGGTTCGGGAGGGGTTGCTGCTGCTGCTGCTGCTGCTGCTGCTGCTGCTGCTGCTGCTGCTGCTGCTGCTGCTTCTGCTGCTGCTGCTTCCGCTTCTGCTGCTGCTGCTGCTGCTGCTGTTGCTCCTGCTGTGGCTGCTGAGGCTGCTGTTGTAACCTCGACTGCGGCTGCTGTTGCTGGAGGTGTTGGCGCATGCTGTTCTGCTGTTGCACGAGCTGTTGCTGCTGTAAAGGCACTTGATGCTGCTGCTGATTGCTCTGAGCAGTCAACTGCTGCTGCTGCCGTGATGGCTGCAACGCAGCTCCCTGCTGCAAGCGTGCTCCCTGAATCTGCTGTATTTCAGACTCTGCCGTTCTCCCTGGATCTGCCGTTCTCCCTGGATCTGCCGTTCTCCCTGGATCTGCCGTTCTCCCTGGATCTGCCGTTCTCCCTGGATCTGCCGTTCTGCTCTCCGAGTCTGCTGTCCTTGCTGGAGCTACTGGGATTCAAGGTAACAGATGAAGCCGAGTAGGTACTACTGTAGGACCATGAGCGCCCTGGGACGTCGTTGGGGCAAGAGGCAAGCCCATTCTTCGAGAGGGTATACGTTCAGGGGTATGGCGTGGCCTCAGCTACTCGCACAGTCGGTAGAGCTTGATCTCTGCTTCATTCACACCGGGGACGCTCGAACCTCCCCGAGATCCTGGATTTGCAAGAGCTGTAACGGTCCAGAAAGGTGCTGCACGGTTCAGTAAGTCGGACTCTGAGCATGAGCAGGCTAGACAGCACGCGTAACCTCGAGACGGTCGAGACGCACCCGGTTACCAGCAGGCCTCGTACAGCACGACGACACGTCATCGTCGTGTATCGTTAGCCAACGCCAACTGTCGCATCGACCACAAGGAGTCTACCCGTCACACCCTCGCGGCAGCCTCTGCCGAGCCTGGGGTCCGTCGTCCGGGGCAGAGGCGTTCGTCGACGGCTCGTCCATTGGGTTTCTCCAATGACGAGCCAACTGTCGCATCAAAAGTAACGGGTCATCGGGCCACATCATCTGCATGACGGGAATAAACCGGCCTCGTCCTGGCGAACCACCGGTTTGCATGCGTTCCCTCGCGTAACTCGTGTTTTTCATTTTCCAACGCCGTCGCCTAGCGCAACACGAGCGGCGGGACATGGCGAAAAAGCGCACGCCAGCTGGGAAAGTCGCGACGCGAGGTGCCCTCGATCTAGCGATGACGCCAGCTGGTGGTCCCAGTAAGTCGATCGAACTCTGGTGCAGAGAAACATAGGGCTGCACTGCGCCCTTTCTGTTGGATGCGCTAAAGAACTCTGGTATGTATTTCGAATAACATACAAACGGAAACCTACAACTTCGAACTGCACATTGTCAGAACTTTTGTTATTGTTGATTTTTTCTCTAAACTGCAAGCACTGAAAAAGGCACACACACTGCGTCAAACTGATGAGTGAATAGGGAACTCACAACAGCTCAACACACAGATCAGATCAGATGAATTAAAAACTTCGAAAAAAAATTCAAATTACGGTACCGTACTAGGAAAGCATGGCAACTTTCACCAAAACCATGCGTAGTGCACATGAACAACTCGTTTCAAAAGCGCCGCATGTCTTTGGGCGGCCGGAAATTGATCGGATGTGTCTCCGGAGTGGCGTTTTCGTCCTCCTTCCACATCTTGATGGTTTTATCCGCTTCACATGTCACCAGGCGCTTGCCCGTCACGTCAAAGCCCATCGCATAGATGCCCGCCTCGCTGTCAAGCGAGCCTGTGGAGGCAGGATAAGTGGATGGAAGGAGGAGTAGGAGCAAGTCGAAAGGGCAGGTGAATGCGTGAAGAGCACTTGTGTGGGAGAGTTGAAAGAGCGGTCCAGAGGAACAGAAGGAAGAGGAGAAACCACAAGCCAGAGAGTGTACTTCAATGTGAGCACACATAGCAGAGAGGGAGAGTGACGCACCGGGCTGCACGATGGTCTGTGTCTGCTGGAAGTTGTGTCCGCTCTTCCAGTCCCAAAACCAGATGGACCCGTTGTCACCTGTGCAGAGAGTAGATGGGTGTGGATGGGGATGATGGGGGATGATGACATATGTCAACGCACGAGGGGGGGTAAGGGGAAGTTCAGGAGAAGCGACGGCTTTTGAGTCGGACTAAAGAATTGACACATGTATGCAGGAAAGTACAGTAGAAGTGACGGCGCACGAAAAGTAAGAAGAGAGCGGCAAAAGCACGCGAGTGTGGGAGGGATTTCAGCCGGGAAACGAGACAAGAAGAGAGGCGGAAGGTGGAGGCACGGAGGGGAACACCTCCTGAGGCGAGCACGTTGTCCTCGTTCACATCTGCGGTGTTGATGATGGTGCGCTGCTGTGAGCTGCGGTGGAGAGAGATGCGATGGGTCGGGTGGCATGTGGAAAGCAATGGTGGAGAGAGATGCGCAGGGGGGGATGGGGGGGGGGAGGGGAGAAGGGCAGACGATGCTTAAGATTGCTGGGTAAGACGTTAACCAGTTCGTGTAACAGCATATGGAGCAGAGACTCGCTCTTAAGCAGTAACCGTAACCGCAAAAAATCATGATGCACAAGAGGATGCCACAAAAACATAGCATGATGTCCAACTAAAGGGAGGCGGAGGGAGGGAATTGAGGGCCTCACAGCATGTTGTGCAGGAACTCGCCCTTGGGCAGTTTGTACTTCTTGATGTTGTCCGCTGATGCCGACACAAACGTCTTCCTGCCAGCCGGTGATGGGGGATGGGTGAGAGGGGAAAGGAGGGAAGTGGAGGGTAGCAGAGCAGGGTGAAAGCGGATGAGGAGCAGAAGTGGGTGCAGGAGAGAAAACTCGTGCAGGACAGAAAACAGGTGCAGGAATGGTAAGGAGTGGTGCGAGAGTAGGAGGCAGTAGGAGGCAGTAGGATCAGGAACGGAGGGCAGCGAGAAGACAGCAGGGAGTAGGGTGGGAGGGAGGTGGGCGTACTCAAAGGGGTGCTTGGCGAGGGCTCGCACGGACTTCTTGTGGTAGGTGAGGGTTGACATGGCCTTGCCTGGTGGCACGTGGGGTACACACAATCAAGATGCGCACACATGACGAAATGTGAGGGCACATGAGGGCGCATGAGGGCACATGAGGGCACATCCACAGGTGCCGCAGGCCTAACGGCAGAATACAAAGATGTTCCAACAAAGGCCACCACTCACCCGCTGCCCCCACTCACCCGCTGCCCCCACTCACCCGCTGCCCCCACTCACCCGCTGCCCCCACTCACCAGCTGCTAGGTCCCAGAGCTTGACGGTGGTGTCGTGCGATCCTGTTATCACTTGCGGGTCCTGGTGTGTGCATGGGATACACAACGGGCGGAGGGTGTCGTGCGCACAGGTGGTATCCATGTCCATGTGTAACCATGCATGTCCCTCCCTGCACACCGGTGTATGTGCATACATACCACATATCACATGGCACGACACGGCAAGGCAGGGCATGCACATTCATTCCTAGCACAACAGTGCAGGGCACAGCACTGCATGACCCAGCACGGCACACAAGCACAGGGCACGGCAGGGCAGGCTGGGGCGGGGCGGGGCGGGGCGGAGCGGGGCGGGGCAGGGCAGGGCAGGGCAGGGCAGTGCAGGGCAGGGCAGTGCAGGGCAGTGCATGTGACTCACGGTAGCCTGCGCGATGACGGAGCAGACGGTGTTGTCGTGGCCGGCGAGAGCAAAGATCTGCGCCTTGGTGCGCACGTCCCACACCTGGTATGCATGAGGGCACATGCACAGGGTAGATAGGTACGTGGATAGACATGACATGCCATGACATGACATGACATGACATGACACACAGCATGGCAAGGCAGGGGCGTGGCACGGATTAGGCACGGCACAAACGGCATGGCGCGCAGGGGCATAGCATGGATAGATATCGCATGGCATGGCATTGCACGACCACATAGGGGAAGGTAGATTCGAGAGGGTGCACAGGAGAGTGAGTGGTGCATTGAGATGAGCTTGTGCCTGTCCTCCCCCTAAATGACCACCCCATACCATCACAAACAAACCACACCTATTACCACTGCCAGTTTCCACCACATCTCGCCGCATCCCACCGCATCCCACAGCCTTCCACAGCCTCCCACAGCCTTCCCCCAGATTCCACCGCATTCACCGCATCCCAGCGCACTAACCCGGCAAACAGAGTCCCGAGCAACCTCATCACCACCATATTCTACCGCATTTCACCGCAGTCCATCGCACCCCACCCTTACCCTGCAGACGGAGTCTCGGCCGCCGGTGAGAAGGACGTCCAGCATGGGGTGCAGCGCAAGGCAGTACACGCCACTCAGATGCCCGTGGTACGAGCGAATCACCTGCCGCCACGTGGCAGAGCAAGCAAGATCAGGGCCGTGAGAAAGGATTGCATACGATGGCATGGCATGGCATGGCACAGTCAGTCTGAAGCATAGCATGGAAAGAGGCATCCACGGCAAGGTGAGTCAGTCAGAACACGAGAGAGAGAGAGAGAGAGAGAGAGAGAGAGAGAGAGAGAGAGAGAGAGAGAGAGAGAGAGAGAGAGAGAGAGAGAGAGAGAGAGAGAGAGAGAGAGAGAGAGAGAGAGAGGAATGGCCACAACACGACAAAGGACAGACGGCAAATGGCAACCCGGCACGCACCTTGTTGCACTCGAGGTCCCAGCGCTTGACGAGCTTGTGTGTGCAGAGCGTGTGTTCAGGATGTGTGAGGTCAAGCAGAAGCACTAGAGCATGACACACCTTGTTGTACTCGAGGTCCCAGCACTTGACGAGCTTGTGTGTGTGTGTGCAGTGCAGAGAATGCGAGGGCAAGCATGAGCAGCAGCGGGTCACACACCTTGTTGTATTCGAGGTCCCAGCACTTGACGAGCTTGTCGTCTCCCGCTGAGAACATGTAGGGGTACTTGGGACTCACGGCCAGGCCTGGTGGGGGTGAGGGAAGGGGGAGGGGGAAGGAGGAGGACGTTAGAGGTGGGCACCGCTGAGAACATGTAGGGGTACTTGGGACTCACGGCCAGGCCTGGTGGAGGAGAGGGGGAGAGGTGGACGAAGAGAAAGAGAGGACGAAAGGCTTGTGAGCAGGTGTGAGGCAAGGTGTGCTGAGTACGGAGACGCAAAAGAAAGGAGTGGGAAGGCTTTGACTTGCCCAGATGTGCGCTGCGCAGTGCCAACATGAATTAGCAGCCGCACGCAAGCCCATCAGCACGCGAAAGAAGAGTGTTTCTGAGACGTCTCAAAAAAATAGCAGCCGCACGCAAGCCCATCAGCATCAGCACGCAGAATCTCCTCAATGAGCCCTGTGAGAGCCAGACTCCTTGCCTCAATCAGCACGTTTCTTTGCCAATAGAAAACACATCAACCCCTCGTCCCCTCTCCGCACCCCTCCTGATCTCGCCCCACCTCCACTCGCCTCACCGCATCCCCCCTCACCTTGGATCTGCTCAACAATCCCTGTGAGAGACAGCCGGCCAACGCACACCCTCACCTCTTCTCATCCCCCCCCCGCCTCACCCCGCCTCACCTCGCCTCACCCCTCCTCACCTCGGATCTGCTCAATGTGCCCTGTGAGAGTCAGCTTCAGCTTGCCTGTTGCCAGCTCCCAAATCTGTGCAAAATGTTGCCCAGGGGAAGGAAAGGGAGGGGGGGGAGAGGGCGGTGGTAAGAGGAGGGGTGTGTGAATGCAGTGGCAGGGAGTACCTGAAGGCTAAATTATATTACCAGGGGGGTTGGCTTGGCTTCATGTCAGAAACAGTTGGCACAAACCCAGTCTGAAATTGCTGTTTTGACCCATTGCCTTGCGACCAGCGACACCCAGTTGAGCCCACCTTGATGGTGCGATCAGCAGAGCCGGCGCAGAACCACTCGTTGCCCGGTTCAAATGCTACTGAGCGCACCCACTACACCCATGTGCCCTCATGCACAGTCACACACAGCGCAACAGACAAGCTGACAGACACACACCGGGCCCACACTAGCCTACCTTGATGGTGCGATCAGCAGAGCCAGTGCAGAACCACTCGTTGCCCGGCTCAAATGCCACCGAGCGCACCCACCCCATGTGCCCACTGATCACCTGGTGGGGCGATTAGGGAGGAAAGGGGGGTGGGGTACGGAAATGCGAAGGACAGGCAGGGAAGGCCGTACTTTACCATTCTAAACAGCCGCCTTATGCGGTAACGGTTTTTACGGTGAAAAATCATAAATATAACCGGTTCTTTGAACTTGGACCCGAGGAGGACAGTGAGGGGGTATATGGAGTAGGCCCGGTCAAAGGCAAGCGAAAGACGGCAAAGTGAAGTGAAACAAGGTATATGAACGAAGGGAATTTCTACACAAAACCCAGTTTATCAAAGTAATAGCAAGCCCAAGGCGTAGTTGGGTTGGGTTGGGTAGGGTTGGGAGGCGGTGGGTTGGGTTGCACTGACCCGATAGTTCTTCCAAGGCGGGTGCCACTCCGGCTTAGGCCACTTGCTAGGCAGACGACGAATGATGGCTGCACTGGGCTTGTACCTGGTGATGGTGGGGGGGTGAAGGGGAAGGAAGGAGGGGAAGGTAGATCGGGAGGGAGAGGGTGGGGTAGAAAGAAGTGGGGTTTGATGGAGGACTAAAGGTGTGAGGAAAAAAAGGAAAAGACACAAATGAGGTGGGTTAAGAGATCAGAAAAATAACCCGGACAAGCCTATGAGACACGAAAGTTCCGGCCGACTCAGAAAGAGGAATGACACTGAAAATATATATAAAGATCAAGGGGTGGGGGGAGACGCAGCAGAACGCCACCATGAACGTCATCATCAGGACGACACTACGACTGCCTGTGACGCCACACGCACCTGTCTGCGACGGTGACGGCATTGGAGGGAGCAGCAGCCGCAGCAGCGCCAGGCGCCGTGAGCGGCACCATGGCCCCCTGGCCTGTGGAACTGCGAGGGGAGAGGACACGATGGGGGGCATGGAGATGGAGTCAGAGGGATGGATGGGGCGGGAAGCAGAAACTCAGGGGTGAGAGTGTGGCACGGGGGGGGAGAGGGGGTGGCGGGGTGGGTGGGTGGGGGGGGTGATGAGGAAACGGGGAAACAGGTGGGCGATGGACGCAGATACCGGGAGTTGAGTACACGAATACAAGGCGCGGTGGGGCAAGAGCAAGGGCAAAGCTAGAGTGACCCCTGTCCGTTGGGCCCAGGATGTGAACACGTGGGCCACGTGGTTACAGGCTCGTCATGCTGCACGTGAACCATGAGAATGGGGCGCAGCCAGATCTCTCGAGCACCGTGCGTGTGACTTGGTGACCATACTAGTTGGTAACTGTGGAATTGTGGTAAGCGGGGTGCTAACCCTGTTACGTGGTAACCTAGTAGTAACCAGCTGACCTGGAGGCGAGCACGATAGCATTGGAGGCACCGGGTGCAAGGCCACCAGCGGCACTGCTGCCTGCACTCCCTGTCATGCGCGGGAAGAGGGACAAGGGGAACAGGAACGGTGGGGGACATGGGAGAGGAGAATACTTGAGTTGAGAATGCCTCTGGTGCACGCATGGGGGTTGAGCAGGGGTGTATAAGCGTTTATTTGCGTGGTTGAGTGCGATGCTGGCCTCATGATGGGATGGAGTGGCACGGGAAGAGGATGGAGACGCGCTAGGCAGCGGCGATAGGGGAAAACCGGATTCATGCCTGTGTTGAACAGCGGGTTAGTGAAACGGGGTGACGGCGTGGCGAAAGGGGGCAGCGGCTTACCAGGCGCGGACGGGGCCGCGGGAGGCCCTGCGAGCCCCACGTGCGGCTGCGCCGCCGCCTGCTCCACCACCGCCGCCAGCGACGGCAGGCTTCCGCCCGCGCCTGCCCCCCCGGCTGGCGCGCCTGCGCCCGCGGGCTGCGCGGAGTCCTTGCTTGCTTGCCCCGCGGGCAGCGGCGGGGGGAGATCGCGCACGACGAGATACTCGTCGCGGATCTGCGCGGGTGCGGGGCGAGACGAAAATTAGGGTTTGGTCGGATGCGCTGTTCGACGCGGAGGATTAGGGCAGTGCAAGGAGGAGCAGGGACTGGTTGCGTGAAGGCAGCCAGGGTGCCAGGCTTTGAGAGAGAGAGAGAGAGAGAGAAAAAAAAAGCAAGCTACGCTGTTAAACATAGCGAGTTAGTGAATAGCGAGAGTAAGTAGGGAAAGCCCTGGTTGGGTGCAGACAATGAGGCATTTGGTGGCTGATTGCGTGACGAGCGGAGGTGTGCGAGCTCACCTTCACTGCTTGTCGAATTGCACGGCTGGGATTCGTCGGAAGACCACCCGAGCGACGAAGGACGTTGATGAACACAGAAGGGAGAGAAGGGGACAGACTGGGTCAATTCAAACATGGTGCGAAACGAACGTGCTTATGGGAGAGAGATTGAGAATTGACAATGGCTTTTAGCGGGCGACAGAAAGATTGAGGCAGCGCAGCGGAGATAGTTAGAGCACAACGCGGCGCAGCGCAACCAGCGACGGTGACGGGCGAGAGAATCAGTCAGACCTGGTTGGGTCGCGAACAAATCCGTCGGACTTCTGTTGCGAATCGAAGAACTCGTAAGTGCGTTTCAGCGATCGGAGGACTAGCTTCTTGAGAGACTGCGGTTCGAGATCGTCAGCCATTGTCGCTACTGCCGCCACGGGAGCCATGGCGGCCTCAGATATTTCTGGAAAACAAGAGCTTGGCCCATCATCTCGCCAGCAAAGAGATTCTTTCGCGCACTGTTTACTAAAGCGTACGAGCGATACAGCGATCAACACTCAATAAATGTCATCCTTACAATATGAAAATTTAAACATGTGCCATTCCTCAAACCTGGCACGGTATTTGAACAGCAGAAATAAAGTGAGCCCATATCGTTAGTCATTTGATCAGATCAGATGATATCAATCAAGAACAAGGTATTGGAATATTCCATAAATCCACAAACCGCGTGTTATTCTGTCTTGCCCTGTTTGTGGAGCTCAAAGCAAGCATAAATCTATTTACCTGATTGGGAGGAAATATTCCGGAGGACGGTGGGTACTAAATTAATGACCAGATACCTGTGTGCTTCAAAGTACTTACGGAGCCTACTGATTCTCTTCGCTTATCGAATCGAGTAGCTCTATAGCGGGTATCTGACAATTGAGAGCCCACACGAGCTGCTTCTAGCTGACTGAACCTCTTTCTTCCGCAGCTCCTTCGCCGCGGCCCTACGCCTCGTATTCAGCGCGTACCTCGCCTATCGCGCCATCTTAACTCCACCTCACCCCATTTCCCGCATTTTTAATCCACCCGCGAATCGGCCGCGATGGCGCTCAAGTTTTTGAACAAGAAGGGGTGGCACACGGGGAGTCTGCGCAACGTGGAGAAGGTGTGGAAGGCGGAGCAGCGCGAGGCGGACGAGCGCAAGAAGGTGGACGAGCTGCGCAAGCAGATCGCGGACGAGCGCGAGGCGGAGGAGTTCCAGCGCCTGCGCGAGCAGGCGGGGCTCGTCCCGTAAGTGCCCGCAGAAATTATTTCTTTATTATATTTCTTATCCGTCAAACCATTCTATTTTCCTATCCGTCAAGAAATTATTTTTCATAGCGTGGTTACGACGATGCGACGGGCCGTCGGGCCTCACGCAGCTCGCCCCGGCTTGTGTCTTGAAAAGACCCTTGGCCTCGCATATCCCACCTCTCCTTCAAACCCGCCCTCCCCGCCCTTCCCCGCCCTCCCCCGCCCTTTCCCTCCTGCCCCACCCGCCCGCCCGGCTCACAGGCTGCAGCAGCGGGTGGACTTTCTGTATGAGTCAGGGCTGTCGACCGGCAAGGGCATGGAGGGAGGGGGCATGGGCGGCATGGGAGCGGCGTCAACGGACGAGCTCATGTCGCAGAAGGTGGACTTCTCCGCTTCCGCGCACACAGGCGCTCCTCCCCCCATCTCCAAGGTGCGCTCCCCCCCCCATCTCCAAGGTGCGGCCCCCATTTGCCCGTCCCCATCAAAATCACTCATCTCAACGGTCCTCGAATGTCCCTCTCTTCACATCACTCATCCTCCCCCCTCTTCCCCTCCCATCTCCTCTTCTCTCCCCTTGCACTGCAGGCGTCTACTGTCCCGGGGTATCTGTTCGCCACGGATGGGGAGTAGGAGGGGCGGGGGGACCACCAGTGGTGACTGTGAACGAGATGTGGCGGCGGTTGCTCTCAGACCCACGATCAGGAGGTTCCCCTTTCCACTCCTTTCCCCTTCCCCCTCCCCACTCCTCTCCATTTCCCACTTTCTCACCCCACCCTCTTCTCCCCCCTCCCGCACCCCAGGCGTCCACTGTCCCCGGCTCTCTGTTCGAAGCGGATGGGGAGCAGGGCGAGGGGCCGCCAGTGGTGACCGCGAACGAGATGTGGCGGCGGTTGCACTCGGACCCTCTCGTGCTCATCCGCCAGCGCGAGCAGGAGGCGCTGACCCGCATCAAGAACAACCCCGTTAAGATGCAGATGATCCGCGCTCAGGTGAGGCAGAGAGAAGGGTGGAGGGGATGGGGAAGGGCGATGCGGAGGTGTGATGGGAGCAGGCAGGCAGTGCTCCCATCGGCAACAACCACGTTAATGACGACTTTTGATGCGGAGGTGTGATGCAGATGACCCTCGCTGTGAAGGATAGCGGGGGGAGTAATGGGGGGATGGTAGGGAGGTGGGGGGAATGAGGAAGTTGGGGAGGGCCACACTACAGGTAGGGTGTAGATAGGGAACAGGCAGGTGAGATGGGAAGAGTGAAAAGACAGGGAAGGGGAGGGGGATTGTCCTGGAGGGGGATTGTCCTGGATGTGCTGCGGTCGCCTTGCATGCTGCGGTCGCCTTGCATGCTGCATTCCCCAATCGTTTTGCCTTGTCTCGTTGGTTCTTTCACAGGCTGAGGCGGTTAAGGGGAAGACACAAAGCAAGAAGGAGAGGAAGAGGGAGAAGAAGGAGAGGAAGCGGAAACGCAAGGAGGAGCGGCGGGCGCGGAGGGAGAGGAAGAAGCGGAGGAAGCAGAGCGAGAGCGAGAGTGAGAGCAGCAGCAGTGGCAGCGACAGCGATGGCAGTGGGAGCGAGGGGAGGGGGGAGGAAAGGCGTGGTGGGGCCAGAGGGGGAGGGGAAGGGAAAAGGGAGGGAGGGACAGGGCAGGGTGGGATGGGGCAGGGAGGGATGGAGAAGCGTGGCAGGGAGAACGGGCCGGAAGTGGGTAGTAGAGGGGATGATGCAGGTGAGGGGGGGAGGAGGCATGGTTGGGAAGGTGAGAGAGGGAGCAGGGAGGCTGATGGCTGGGGGGGGAGGTTTGAAGGAAGTGTGGGGTGGAGTGATCGGGGTGGCAGGGAGGGGAGGCGTGGCAGGGATTATGAGGAGGGGAGGATGGAGCGTGCGAGAGGGGTGGGTGGAGAAGGGGAAAGGCGAGTGAGGGAGGAGCTGAGGGCTGGTGGTGGTGGGAGGAGGGATGGGGAGGAGAGGAGTGAGAGGGGAGGGAGAGGTGACTGGGAAGGGAGAGGCGAGAGGGAGAGGAATGCTCAGGGTAGGAGTGAGAAAGAGAGGTATGTGAGGGAGAGGAGCAAGATGGCAGGAGGGGACGAGAGGGAGAGGTATGGCAGGGAGAGGAGTGAGAGGGGAGGTGGGGACGAGAGAGAGAGGTATGGCAGGAGGGGGAAGGATAAGGATGTGATTGAGCCAGTGGGAAGAGGGGGGCGATGGGAAGAGCAAGGGAGAAGAGTGAAGTCGGGACGAGAAGCAGCACTTGCACAGGAGATAGAGGAAGGGAAAACGAGGCATGTTGAGGAAGGGAGAGAAGGGAGGGAGGGAGGAAGAGAGAGGAGGGAGGGACGGAGAGGTGAGGCAGCAGAGGTGGTGAGAGGCGCGAGGCAGAGGCATGACAGCCCTTCAGGGAGTGAGGGGGAGAATGATGGTGTGGGTGAGCGTGGGGGTGCGGGTGGCAGGGGTGGCAGTGGCAGGAGTGCAGCGCACACAGCACAGGAGGGTGGGGAGAGGAGTGGAGATCTGGTGGCGAGGACAGGAGGCACGAGGCAGAGGCATGACAGCCCTTTGGGAGGCACGAGGCAGAGGCACGACAGCCCGTCAGACGGCAGCGATGGGGAGGGGCGCAGAGCAGCGCCTCTCTACGGCCTCTCCTTCCACCGCATGGCCCCCTCCCCTCCTCGCACCGCCCCACCTGCACCCTCTGCCCGTGCACCGTCACCTGCTGCTGCTGCTGCTGCTGCTGCCCCTCTGGAGTCTGGTGTTGTGGCAGGTGCAGGCAGGAGAGAGGAGGGCCTTGGTAGTGGCAGCCAGAATAGGCCGGGGGGTGGGTGGCAGGGGCGGCAAGGGCGGCAGAAAATGACGGAGGAGGAGAGGCGGCGGCGGCTGGCGGAGATGGAGGAGAATGCGGAGGCGGTGGAGTGGGAGAGGCGGGAGCGCATCCAGTGGGCGGCGCAGCGGGATGCGCGCGAGGAGCAGAAGAGTGATGCTGCTGCCCCCCGTGGGACCTTCCTCCGGGTAGGCTTGCCATCGCTTGTTTCTTTTGTTCGGTTTTGTTCCAGAAACACTCCCATTCTTTTTACTTACCTGAGTTGTGATAGCTTCTTGTGTCTACTTCCTGGTGCCGGTTGTGTCAATAAGTACTGAAGAGTTCGTGTTTGTGGTTGTGGTGGGGTGAGCAGGAGGCGCAGAAGGAGGTGTATGGGGCCGGCAGTGGGGCGGCAGGGGATGCGGCTCTGCAGGCAGCAGCGGGCACGGGCATGTCCATAGAGAGCAGCATTCGCCGCCGCTCACACTTCCTGGAGAAGGGGAGGGGCGATTCAAGTGCCTTCAGAAGATGATCTGCTCGAGTGTGTGATGAGTGTGCTCCAGCTTGACTCTGAATTGTGCGGCACTGGTAAACAATCAAATATTGTCAGGAGGATGACAACACTGCGAGCATCGGGCGGTGCAATTCTTGATTATCATCGGCTGGTCGTAGTGCATGTCATTCACAGGGAAAAAAAAATGAAGTTGACTTCAACAGAAATATTTTCTTGAAACGTCTGATCCTACTGTATAGTAGTTTCCACATTGCTCGAAATATTGGTGTTGCTACTTTCAAAAGCCGAACAACAGGGTTCAAAATATCGGGTATGGTCAAGGCGCATATTTACCGCCACGCTTCGAAATTCAAAACCTGTCAGTACAGACCTGGCACAAACCGCGGTCTGGGGTTCATTCGGCACACAGTTTCCACCAGGCACCAGCGATCTGTAACGCACTAAACCAGATCGCAGAGCTCTCTCTGCCATTTTCCGTTCAACCTGCTCGACTGTGGTGGACCTGTGGTTGTTCGCTGGCGGCTCATCTGTGCCTTTCATTCCATCCCACCTTGAGAACTCCGCATCGCCTGAATCGTACACGAGACGTACGACCCGGACAGGCCAACAGTTCACGACGATGTTCCCGACCAAGGCGATTCCTGCCTTCGGACCACTACAGGACGAATGAGAGACAATAGAAACCTACTAGGTTACAGCAGTTGTGTCGTAGGACGCATGCTCTCGGCCAGAGTCATCGGCGAATTGAATCAGAGTCATCAGAGTCATCAGGGCGACTGAGCCATTGGTGTAATCAGCAACGCGAATGACTGGATAAACTAGTAGCCGGCAATATCGAATGACTGGATAGACGCTGGTGATAGGTAGGCACTAAACCGAACAGAAGTACGAGCAGAACCGACAAAGGTCTCTTCAACCAGAAAGTTTTGGGGTGATAGGCACTGGCGGGAGCAAGATCTGTATCAGGCATTAGCGAATGACCCTGAACAGACCCATAGCCGTTATTGGTGGTAGATAGGCACTTAGCTAATACACCAGGTGCTGAACCGAGCACAACAGCAGCTGAACCGAGAGCGACAGAAGTTGGACCGGACAAGCATCAGCAGCGCGCGATGGCGGAGGACGCGGTGGATCGGCAGCTGGCGCTGGTGGTGGAGATCGAGGAGGCGGGGCGTGCCGCCAAGGTGCAGCTCGAGAACTGCCTGCTTCTCAGCGACCGCCTCGGTATCCTGCGACCGTTGCTCAAGGTTAGCCGTCGATCCTCCGACCGTGTTGAATTATATCCGTCGATCTTACCACTTCCTACTGCCAAGGTGCAGCTCGAGAATTGCCTGCTGCTCAGCGACCGCCTCGGCATCCTCCGCCCACAGCTCAAGGTCAGCCGTCGATTCCCCGACTGCTAGTAGTCAGCCGTCGATCCTGGTACCTCCTACATCAAGATGCAGAAGTACAGATTTATATTCCACGACGATCACGACGATTTTAGTCGGCAATTCTCTGACCGCATTTCCAGCTCATAGTTCGGTCGTCACTGCGCTACGCATCTGTGTAGCGCTGTCGTCGATCCGTCGACCACTTCAGTCCTCTAGCCGGGTTGGGTTTCGTTCACGGTGGTCGTTCAGCCGCACCTCTCGTCGCGCACCACTCAAAGGGAATTGTTGCCGGTCATTATGTGCAACATTTCGTTACCAAGGTTACACTCGGCGTATAGCCTCTGTCAGTGAAAAGCAATGAACGCCAGCGAAGGCGAGCAAATTTCAGAAAAAGTCAAGGAGCGTCAGTTGATACCCTCCCTTCCTCGGCGCGTCCGTGTTTAACTGTGTGTCCCTACACTCCCCCCGCCTTCCCCTCCTCGGTGCGCGCAGGACATGCGGCTGTGGTTGGCGGCGGTGCAGATGAGTCGACAGCAGGTCGCCATCGACGCCATCCTGCTGCGCCTCGAGAGGTGCGCTCGCCTGCCGTCCCTTGCTGAAACCTCGGAACGAGCTTTGGCAGCGTTGGTGCTTGATAGGGACATCTCCGGGGATGCAGAGAATACCACTGCTGGGTTTGCTGCGTTGGTGCATCCACGCATGCATGGATCCATCCGTGCATCGGTCCTACATGTCCCCATCTACGGATCCACACCTGTTCAACATGCCCTATTCCGCGGATTTATGCGGTCGTGCTGGCAGGTGCCTGAGGCGGCTTAGCACGGTGATTCAACGCTGTGGGCGCTCCAGTCGCCTCTGTGTCTCCAGCTTCTATCGCGACCTGCACTTCACACTCAAACAGGTGTGCTTATATCGGGACATATGCTTATCACGTCCAATCATTGTGCACCGTGGGACCCAATCTCACATGTTTGCACGTGCTCTCACACGCCTCACCTGTGCTCTCACACGCCTCACCTGTGCTCTCACACGCCTCACCTGTGCTCTCACACGCCTCACCTGTGCTCCCACCTCACTTTCCTCATCTGCCCTCCCATCCCACATGCCCCATGCCGCCCCTCTCTCCCCAGGCCTCCCTCTCCCTCGCGGACTGCCTGGCGGACCTAGCAGCCCAGGCCGCCTCTACGCTTCCCGAAGCTGCCAAGCAGGCTCGGGCCATCCAGGCCGAGATCCAGCAGCTGAGGTTCGTGCCAGCTGGCAAGCAGGGACAGGCCCAGCTGGCAACAGTATGCGGGCAGGCGACAGAGCAGCAGCGGCTGCTGCAGCAGCTGCGTGCGTCCGTCTCCTCGCTGCTCTCCCAGCTGCGGCACTCCCAAGGCGCCAGCTGCCGGGGTAACTGCAGTGGTGGTACCTGCAGCGGTGACTGCAGGGGTAGCAGCAGGAACGGAGACGGCAGGAGCGTGGGCGGAAGGGGTAATGCGGGGTGGGAGAAGGTACGGGGGGTTGTGCTGCGGGAAGGGAGCAGGGAGCAGGTGGAAGGGGAGTTGGTGCGGGTGCTACAGCAGGTGGAGAGAGAGGCAGTGGTGGTGGGCGTGTTGAAAGCTCTGTGCTTCAAGTGCGGGTGGATGGAGGAGACTGTAGTGAAGAAGCTTATAAGGTATCTGGGCGAGCAGAGGCGTGTGGTGGGCACGCAGCGGTGGGCTGTGGATGAGATTCAGCAGTGGCTCAGGCGGCAAGACCTATCAGCTGCTGACACGTGTTCGGATTCCCTGAGTGGAGTATTGTCGATTAGTGAGGGTGGAGGGGTGGGAGACGGAGAGGAGGAGAGCGTGGGATGGATGAAGGGAGAAGGGCTGAGTGGGGGGGTGGGGGGGAGAGGGACGGGGAGGGGAATGGAGAGAGGGGAGGAGGGGAAGGGGAGGGGGAGGGAGGGCAAGGAGGGGAGGGAGGGCAAGGAGGGGAGGGCGGAGCGGGAGATCCTGGAGGCGTGTGAGGCGATGAAAGGCGCTGGCGATGAGGTGGCGTCGTGGGATTTGCGGTTGGGGAGGCGCGCTGCTGAGCTGGCACGGGACGTGGTGAGGAGCCTGCGGCTGCGCATGGCGGATCACCAGAAGGCGCTGCAGGTGGGCGTGGGCCGGGCGGCATGTGGGGTCAACCGTGCCTTCCGTTGATAACTCCATTCCATGCCTCCCTCGTTTTGCAATCCCACCCCAGCGGGTGGGTGGGACCACGTCAGCCTCAGAGCCTCAGAGCATTTCTTTCAGATATGCTCCTCGTTCCCTTTCTCACCTCTCTCTCTACCGGTCTTCCCACGCGAGCAGGAGGGGAGGGACATGTGGGCCATAGGAGTGTCATGTGTGGAGGAGCCGTGGCTGGCGCTACTGGCAGAGGAGCTCGCCGCCCACCCGTGCTCCAACTCTCTCTCTCTGCTCCCTCTTCTCCCCCCTCACCCCATGGTAACAGGAGGGGAGGGACATGTGGGCCATAGGAGTGTCATGTGTGGAGGAGCCGTGGCTGGCGCTACTGGCAGAGGAGCTCGCCGCCCACCGCGACGACCTCCGGGAGGTGGCTGCGCACGTCACTGCTGTCGACGCCGCTCTTAGCAGGGCTGCTTATAACGAGGCACAGGAGGCAGGTGCAGTCGAGGGGAACGCTGCGTGTGGTGGGGCAGGAGGTGAGGGGGGGATGAATGGTGCTGGTGCGAGGGGGAGTGACGGGTGGGAGAGAGGGGGAGGGAAGGGGAGTGAGGGAGAGGAGGGGATGGGGAGGGGCGCGGTGGGGGTGGCGGAGCGGTATGGGGAGCTGCATGAGTGGCAGCGCGCGCTGAGGGACCTGAGCATCCATGTGAGGGGCGTGCGGCGCCAGGCCAACACCATGCAGCGCCTCCTGCTCACCGTTGAAGCTGCCTCTGCCGCTGCCGCCGCCGCCGCTGCTGCTGCTGCTTCAAGGGGAAACAGTGCTGTGAGTGGGACAGGAGCTAGTGGGAGCAGAACGCCGGGGCGTGGGGGTCGGGGGCGGGGAGAGAGCGATGTGGGGCCGCTGCTGGCGCGGATGGATGGCGACCTTCGGCAGTATGTGGCGGAGCTGGTGGGGCATGCGGGTGTGGCGGGCGGCGTGCTGAGTGTGCTGGAGGAGGATTTGGACGAGGCGGAGAGGCGAGGGGAGGAGGCGGAGAACAAGGGGGAGGAGGCGGGGGAAAAAGGGGAGGCGCAGAGGAGGGGCAAGGCGGAAAGAGGAGAGAAAGAGGAGGGCAGGCGGAAGGAAATGGAGGGGAGGGGAGTGGGGAAGAGGACGGAGTGTGGAACTGCGGGGAAGAGGGGGAAGGAGAACGCACGTGAAGCAGGGACGAGGGATAAAGGAGAATTTCGAGGCACAGGTGCAGCAGAGGTGCTGAGAGAGAATGGGCAGGCGCGGGTGGCTCCGAATGCAAGCAGCCGTGAAGAGAGGGGCAGGGATGACGTGGCTGACGTGGCTGATATGGGTGGTGTGGGAGATGCGAGGGATGGGGCGATGGAGTTGGCGGGTCGGCGTAGGCACGAGCAGTGTGAGGGGAATGGCGCAGGGCGGGATGACGGATGGAGGGAAGGGGGCGGCAGGAGAGGTGGAGCAGGGTAGCAGTGGCGATGAAGGGTTCAATCCCAGGAGGGCGTACTCAGGGGAGGTACATCTGGCAGCAGAGCACGGGGGAGGAGAGAAATTGGCGGCAGGCGGGGTAGTAAGGGGAGAGGGAGTAGGAGGGGGAGGCACTGGGGATGGGGCCGGAAGAGGAGATGCTCGTGAGGATAAGGGTGAGGGTGCTGGTGATGGTGTTGGCAGGGGTGCTGATGGCGGGGTTGGGGCGGTGGGTTTTGAGGGGTGTGTAAGAGCGGGAGAGAGGGGCGGAGGAGGCGAGGGAGAGGAGGCGATGGGGGAAGGGGAGGCGGCGTTGGCGGCGCTGGTGTCGGCTCTGTGGTACGGCAGTGAGGAGGACCAAGAGGCTGCTGCCGAGGCTGTCCTGGAGGTACGGCCGAGGCTGTGGTGGAGGTAGGTAGGTATGGCTGTGGAGGTATTGTGGGGTGAAAATTCCTGAAGACTCATAGGTGCACGTGGATACTCAAATACACGCGTGTGCCTTTGCAGCTGACTCGGCCTGTCTCGGGCTTGATAAGACATCGATACGCCTGCATGCCTCCGTTCCAACCCAGCCCACACTATGGTGCGAGGTGGATGGAGCAACAGTGCTACCACTTCCACCTCGCACTCACTCCCACAAGAGCACGTGCCTCCAGGGAAAGTGAAGCTGCCAGTTTGCCACTCACATGCATTCGTTTCCCTGCACTTGCGCTCTTGATTCTCGCTTGCACACGAATCCGTCTACCCACGTACATCCTCCCCCACAACCAGGGCTGGGATGTGACACGGGCGCCATCACCGCCACGCCCTTCCCCCCAGTCCTGTCCGTCCCTCGCGTGCATTCGTTCCCCTTTCTCATGTACCCCTGCTTCTCCCTTCCCTTGTACACACGCTCCCACCAGGGCTGTGACACGGGCGCCATCACCGCCACGCCCTCCCTTGCAGCGCGCACACTGTCGGGCAAATGGCAGCCTGCTCTCGCTGCCGCCCTCAAGCCGCCCTCCTCCTGCCGCCCGCCTGTCGTACAATCAGCTGTCGCCACGTCACTCGTGTGCCTGGCTGTTTCTGACGAGCTGCGGACTGCTCTGGCCTCCCAGGGGCTTCTTCAGGTGGGCAGCCAGAAGGTCCAGCTTTGTGGGTGTGGCAAGAACGGTCAGGTGGTATGTGGATAGTTCTTGTTTCAGGTAATCGCACGTTTTGCATTTATTATACGAAACGTACGTTCTTGTTCAGGTAAACGCAAGGGACACGAGTGACGGTAAACGCAGAAGTGGAGGTGTTCCCCACTTTTAGTCCACGTGGCTAGATTCTCAATCCCTAACTTGCGATTTCTGCTCTGCACTCCTTCTCTCGCCCCCTTACGCCCTCGCCACACCAGGCGCTGCTGCTGCAGGTGCAGAAGCCACACCGCTTGATTCTCAGCCGCTGCGTCTTTGCCCTCGGCCAGCTGGCGCGCTGTGATTCGATGCGCTGCCACGTCACCGATTCGGGGTCCATGTCGTTCCTCGTGCCTCTGCTGCGCTCCAAGGTACAACCGCCGCCCCCACCCCCCCAACCACTCCCCACCCCTGTTCTCCCGTTGTATCGCCCTCTGAATCTCATCTCCTGCTCTCCTCGCTTCCACTTCGTTTTGACTCCTTGATCATTTGCTCCAACCTTGATGTTTCCACTACCAGCCCTCCTCCCCTCCCCACCTCCTCTTCCACCAACCAGTTGCACAACTCTCCCACACCTTTCCTATGTGATCGCAACTCCTCCCCCACCTCTCCCACCCACCAATCCGATCCCTACGTGTCCGGTCGTGATTGTCAGGACGTGGAGGTGCGAGAGTCAGCCGCCCTGCTCTTCAAGAACATGGTCTTCCGCGACCCCCCTCAGGACAGCCAATCGCTGCTCGCCACACGGGCGTGCGTGGTCAAGCACGGCGCGGTCCCCCTGCTCCTCTCCGCCCTCTCCATTCAAACCGCTCTGCACCCCGCTGACACCTCCAGCCTTGACACCTCCAGCCGCACCACTGGTACCAGCTCAACTAGTGCAGAGGCACATGAGTCAGCAGCAGAAGCAGCGGCGGCGGCGGCAGCAGCGGCAGCAAGGGCGTGCATGAGTGGAGAGGCAGAAGAGTACATGCTGGGGGTAGTGGGCGGATTGGCTCAGAGCCGTCGCCCTGCCGTGCCTCTGCCCACCAGGAAGCTCATCGCCTGCATCATTCCCCACCTCGCGCACCCCTCCACCCCCACCGTTCGCATCTACGCCCTTGCTGCCCTCGCTGCCCTGGCCAAGGTCGACCCGGAGGGTGATTGTAACGGGGGTGGCAGTGTGGAGGGGGCGGTGAGGAGGGTGGGGGGAGTGGAGAGGGAGGAGAGGGCGGAGGGGGGTGTGGTGGCGGTTGTGGAGTTGGAGGGGTTGGGGGCGGTGCTGCAGGTGGTGAGGGATACAGCGGTGGGGGAGAGAGTGCGCCTGCATGCCGTCTCAGTGCTCTGTGCCATTGCCGGCCTCAAAAGCAGGTGAGGCTGGCTCGTGAGCTGCTTTGAGTTGAGGCAATGGCGTGTGCTGATGTAATGAGTTGACAGATGCCGGGATGAGCGTGTGTTATGCTCTCAGTCCTGCAACCACCCACTGCCAACAGCAGGTGGGCCAGTCTTCTTTGGAAAACACACACACCTATACCTCTTCCCTATCATCTCTTACTCCCCCCTAGTTCAGATGCTGAGGCGAGTGTATGTGACGTGGTTATCCTTAAAGTTACCAGTTATAGCCACTGTCAAGTGGGCCAGGTTATCTAAAACCCCTTCCTCAGTCTCCCTCACATCCCCTCTCCCCTCTCCTCACCTCCCCCCTCCCCTCCCCTCACCTCCCCTCCCCCCACCTCCTCCCTCCTCTCCCCTCACCGCCCTCTCTCCTGCAGGCACTATCGCTCACTCTTAGCCTTAGAGGGCGGCCTCCTGCAGAAGCAGCTTCCCAACCCGCTCCTCAACCTCCCTCACCTGCCCCCTCCCCTCTCCACCACCCTCTCTCTCCTCCAGGGACTATCGCTCACTAATCGCCTTGGAGGGCGGCCTTCCCCCGCTCGTCGCCCTGCTCTCCCCCGCCTTCCCTCTCGACCTGCGCCTTCTATCCGCCACCACACTGCGCCTCCTCTCGCTCTCCCCCGTCGTGCGCCGCTCAATCCTCCTCACGGGCGCGCTGCTCCCTCTTGTTGACCTGCTGCGAGAGCAGCTGCCCAACCCCTTCACCAATGTGAGCGTGGCTGCGGCCGTGGCAGCACTGGTGCCGCGAGGAGAGGAGGAGAAGAGTGTGAGGGGACCGGTGGGGCTGTGTGCGCCGGTAGAGGAGCAGCTGGTGCTGGTGGGAGCTGTGCCGCTGCTGGTAGCCGTGCTGCTAGGCGCTAGTGGTGGAGGTGGTGGTGGTGGGGGTGATGTGGCAATGGGAGGTGGTGGGGGGATGGGAGAGGAGGGAGCAGAGCATGAGAGGGAGGTGAGGAGGGCACTGAAGCGGGTGGCTGAGGTGAGCAGGAGCGGAGCAGAGGAGATAGTGGCATGCGGAGGGACGAGGCTGCTAGACAGTCTCTTACCACGCTAGAGACATGTCGAGCAGGTCCGAGATAGGCGAATGCTGGAAGACTAGTTAGTGCACATAGCGGCCTGGAGATGTGTCAACCAGATGGTCTTTAGTCATGTCTAGTGAATGTGAAGTGGAAACGACTAGGAGTCCCACGGACAGTGACCGACACATTGTGTTTCAATGCAGCTGCGGTAGATGTAGCTGCGGTAGATAGGTGAGAAGAATGTTTATCCCAAGAACTTGAATTAATACTGAGAGATGCATACACCGGAGCAATCTCATGAAGAGGAACATTATTTCTATGCATAGATTTTGTAGCAGCTATTGCCCACAAGAGGCACAAGTTAATGGTGGTGCTGGCGTCGCCTGGGTACTAACTGCCACAACAATCAGCCAGGGATCCAACGGCTAGTTTTGCGCCTGTATAAAAGTGACGATGCACATCCAGCCACCCCGCTTCGGAGATGCGTCGACGCCATCCGGGCTGTGCGCGCTACGCCTTCCACGCGGCCTTGGCGCTCTGCGCCTTGCCGAGCGCGGACGCGAGCAGGCTCTTGTCAGCGCCGCCGGCGGGGAGCATCATGCTGACGCCGTTGATGGTGGCGATCGAGTTGTCGATCTGCCCCGCCACCAGCGCGCGCTGCCCAGTTTGAATCAGCGCCGCCGCGTTGCGCAGCGCTGCCGCCGTGTCCGTCAAGCTCTTGACGTACATCTTCATCGTCAGTTTCGCCCTGGCGCTATCGACGTCAACCGCCGCCGCCTCCAGCAGCGATACCACCTTCGAGTCCGCGCCGCTCAGCTTCACTGCGGGGGTTCCCGCGGAGGTGCCGGGAGTGGCGGGGGTTGTGGGAGTGGGGGGAGTCTTCTTGCCGCCCTTCTTGGTCGGCGTAGTGGGAGTGGTGGGAGTGGAAGGGGAGGGAGTGGGGGGAGAGTTCTTGCTCTTCTTGTCTTTTTTCTTGTCCTTCTTGTCGGTCTTGTTCTTGTGGTCATGATGAAGAATCCTCCTCGTCGCGGCTTCGTCGCTAAGCGAATAAACGGCATTAAGCTGAGCCAGATCGCCGGGCATAGCGGCAGCAATTGCGGACGAAGCAGCTTCGGAGACGGCGAGCTCGGCGGAGGCGTTGAGGCAGAACGACGTGAGGGCGAGCGCCACCAGGGGCAGCGCGCAGGCGAGCGCGGAGATTCTGGAGTACGCCATGGCGAGTCGTCGGAGGAAGGAGTGATTGCTTGGAGAATCAAAAGTAGCGCTTGAAGTGCTTTGTGTGTGAAGCTGGAATGAATGTGATGGTGGAAAGGAGAATATGAAGGCTATTTATGGGAGTTCTTCGGGGGTTTGTGTGATGGTTGGGTAGGAATTTTCGAATCTCTCAACTCAATTGAGATGGATTGTGCGGCTCGAGCATGTGAGATGGCGACTCGGAAAAGCGATTCTCTCTACATGTCGGCGACGAAGAATATTGACGGAGAAGAGCACGTCGCACGCGACCACGCGAAGCGTTCAGAGTCACGGGGATGATTACTTGTCGTCGTGAGTCTGGCTTGGTGGCGGTTTTGATAGCCTTTCGAGCTGGAGGGGGAAACCATGATGTCGGTGGCCCGGCCGGATCACTTTTACCATGCGATTTTTTGCCACCCGCGACTTTGACGGATGTGGAACCCTCAAAATTTGCGCGCGATGGAAACGCAAGTAAAGCCTAGCCTCCGTCCATTTCACCAAGATGACACTTAGTTGATGAAATCTTCTTTTTGCTTACCGGTTTGATTAGTCAAACTCCCAGGTTAGGTAAAGGAGGGGGGAAATCCCCTTTTGGGTTACCCCCGGCTTGTCAAACTCCCAGGAGTTAGGGCCAATGGATGTTTTTTGGGTTGCGTAGCAACCTTAGGGAGTGTTACATTGCGCGCTGGTCCATTTACAGGAAATGGACCAGCTTAGACAAGGGAGCACCAGTTTACAGGGATCACTTGCGAAAGTGGTCCCTGCCTGGTACCCGCGTGGTCCCGGGCACCATTTGCAGCCGACCCCAACAGCACAGTGTTTTACAGTTTCGCAAAAGCAAGGTGGACGAAAACAAAGTCGCACCTAGTCACACATTGAACTACATTTCGCGACGGCCCGAATCGCGAAATTTTCAGCTTGTGCTAGCGAAAAGGGGCGACGTGGAGTTTTCGCGAGTATCTGGGCCGCGAATTGGGGTCGACTGTTGGAAGTGGTCCCCCAAATCCTGCACGCGCACCGACCACTGTACATGCTGGTCTGTGTGGGGAGCTACCTGGGTCACTACCTGGGCCGTTTGCTGGTCCAAACAGCTGGTCCACGCTGGTCCGCGCTGGTCCGCGCAAATCTCCCTGGGCCGCAGCGGCCCAGTGCGGCCCAGAGTAGTTCTGCCGCACATGTAACACCCCCTTATACATTCGTTTTCACTTTTCGGTTGACTGATGTGAACAGTGATTTTCTTCTCAAAATAAAGAAAAAAGCACTGTTCACATAAGTTACCCGAAAAATGGAAACAAATGTGTCCAATCATTCCATTATCGTCGATAAGTACGGCGAATGGAACAATTGGACAATCTCTTGGCACAAATGACATAACGATAAGAAACGCACTCATAGGCAAACTTCTACCAGTGGAAAAAAAAAAACATGCAAAATTATACGAGAAAACTACAAAACAAACAAACAAACAATATGTGAATATTTTGAAGTGAATACTATAATGCATTCATGTTGCAACATGGATTGATATGGTACGGAAGAGGCGAGTAAAGCTGCCCCACCGACGATCACAACCCACGTTGCATACATAAGGCACTTAGCACCACACCCCAAAGCAGTCACAAACGACAGCACACTAACTTGTACAAAAACGAGGGACAACAGTTGTGAATGCTTCGAAGCTAATGTTGAATTACATTGCATATCCTAACTGCCTACAGCTTGTTGTTAGTGTAGTAGTTATTAATTAGAACCTATTGCTGGTGGTGTACCCTTTGTCTTCTCCTTGCCTATATCTTTGTATGCCCTCCATTATTCAAGCCTCTCTTTTGGCCAACCTAAATTCCCTCGATAACCATCTCACTATGCTACTCTCCCTCCAAGCTCCTAATCTCCTAAGTTCTTATCTCAACATGGTATTAAGAGCTGGGTCCTCCTAAGGACCTTGTCATTTTTCATTCGCCATGGCTGTCATCGTTGCCATGGCGACCGTTGCAGCGCCCTTCGAGGCGCTCGCCCGTTGCCTGCCCCGCGCTGAACGCCCCGTGCTACCCGCCCCACGCGCTGGTCGCCCCGTCCCGCGCGCTGTCGCGTCGCCCCGTCGCTGGTCGCGGACGCCAGCACCAGCGCCTCCGACCGTCGCTGACGCCAGCGCGAGCGCAAGCGACGTGCGCCAGCGCCAGCGACTGTCGCGAGCGCTAGCGCCAGCGCCAGCGTCAGCGCCAGCGGCATGCGCCAGCGCCGGTCGCGAGCGCCAGCGCCAGCAGCGGCCGCCAGCGCCCCCGCCATCGCCACCCCGCTCCCCGCCTCCGCACCTGCCGCCGCTCTCTTCTACGGTGGACGCTGCGGGGGGGAGGTGGCAGGGCTCGCGCCCGCGGCTACGGGGGTGCTTAAGCCCCCTTGAACCCTCCCGCCCCTCCCTAATCCTCCTCCTCATCGCTGCCCGTGCATCTGCAGTTCGTGCCGCGTTTGGGGTGGGGGGGGAGAGGGTGTGGGGGTGGCGGGTATGTGCAGGCAGCCGCCTCCCCCTTCTCCTCCTCCTTCCGCTGCACTTCCTCTCCTCCTCTCCTCTCCACTCCTCTCCTCTCCTCTCTCCTCTCCTCCAGCCGCCTCCTCCTCCGCTTGTTTGCTCCTCCAGCCGCTTCTCCTCGGCTCTCCGCCTGTGCGCCACCAGCTTCCTCCTCCTATCCAACGGTTGGTGTTAATCACCAGCATCCTACGCCCTCCGGTTATCCCAGCCCTCCTCCGCGCCCTCCGCGCCCTCCTCCGTTATGGCGTTCACAGGTGCTGCCAGGAAGCAACCGCTCTCCAGGCGACCTGGTGCCAGACACCACTAACTATAGCCGTAGGCAGTTACGGGGGTGTGTTGAATTACATTGCATATCCTAACTGCCTACAGCTTGTTGTTAGTGTAGTAGTTATTAATTAGAACCTATTGCTGGTGGTGTACCCTTTGTCTTCTCCTTGCCTATATCTTTGTATGCCCTCCATTATTCAAGCCTCTCTTTTGGCCAACCTAAACTCCCTCGATAACCATCTCACTATGCTACTCTCCCTCCAAGCTAATCTCCTAAGTTCTTATCTCAACAAGCTGCCCCACCGACGATCACAACCCACGTTGCATACATGAGGCACTTAGCACCACACCCCAAAGCAGTCACAAACGACAGCACACTAACTTGTACAAAAACGAGGGACAACAGTTGTGAATGCTTCGAAGCTAATGCTAAAATGCATCATTGATGCAACTGCGATTGATCTGGTATGGAAGAGGCAAGCAAAGCTGCCCCACCAACGATCACAACCCCAATTGCATACACGAGGCACTTAGCACTCACCCCGAAACAGACACAAACAGCACTACATACATGTACGCACACACATACAAGCTCACACATACGCAGACAGAAAAAAAAACGCAGAAAC